TGGTAGCATCCATTCCCAGGAAGTGCTTTATCTTCCTGGTCCTGCTGGGTACAATTAAGATGTTTCTTAGCACAACTTTCTCTTGCTGGATACCTAGGAAAGCCACTTTAATGCATCTGACCTGATGCCTTATTATTACTTAATAGTAATAATAAGTCTTCCTTCCTATTCTTCCACTACCTACATCAAAACTAGTGGCTTTTACTCCCACAGTCTCTGGAGCAATCTCTCTATGACTTCCAGTGACAACTAAGAAACTTAGTAAACCAAATTGTTCCAGAGGTTGGGGTTTATGGCCCTCTAGTGTCTACTCTTTTCTGCCCCAACACATGCACTTTGCAATGATTTTCTGGGAGTGCAGCTTGATCATTGTTATCTTTGCCAAATTCCTAATGGCAAAGACAGAAAGAGGATAGTGTTTTCCAACTGAACAACTCTAATATTCAAAGCTCCAGAGGATGGAAGAATTTTTTTTTTATATTTGAGGAACTGAAACACTAGTATGACTGATGGGGAGTGAGAAGTGTCATATGAGAAACAGGTGAACTAGTGAAAGGTTTGAGTGATTCTCAGATGTTAGGGTGCTTAGGAATCACTGGGAAACTTGTTAAAATACAAAATCTCCTGATTCCCTTTTGAGAATGTCTATAGGTCTGGTGTGCTCAAGAATTTCCACAAACACCCTAAGCAATTCTGTGACTCACAGACCACCCTTAGAGAACCACTGGTCCTGACCAGCTGTTCTAGATACTGGCTGCACATTGGAATCATCTCAGAGCTTTAAAAAATGCTGATGCCTATACTCCTCCCTCTTGATTCTGTTATAATTGATCTGATGTTCCACCAGGGCAGCTGGATATTTAGGATCCCCAAATGACTCTAATATGCAGTCAAATTTGAGAACAGTGGCCTAAGGCCTGGAGTGCTCTTCAAGGAGCAGGCCTGGGCGGAGCATCTTTAAAAGTGAAGAGACTAATAAAAGGGAGTGGTGATTTACAAAAGGGAAATGAAGGGATGGAAGTTTCCGAAGACAAACCTTGCTTTCTTCACAATATAATTATCTAGTCAACACACATTTGCCTGCCTGGGTGCCAAGAAATCCACTTCATGCCCCAAGTCTCAGGCTCCATCTTAGAAGCAAAAGCAAGGGAATCAGAACCTGGGACAGGGGCTTCAAATTCCCCTCCTCAGTGGCTTCTCAGATATCATCATCTTTCTCATAGAGGAAAACATGAGGGGGCCAGATATGCCAGACCTTTGTGCAAATTACAACACTGCTTCACTCTTCATGAATAACCATGAGAGATTATGTTTGGAAGGGAAAACATGTGTAATTATGTGTCTTCGGAGCCTCTCAAGATTATGCAGCTTTAATGGCTGAATGGTTGTTGTTGTTTTTTTAACTAAACCACATGCATGTTATTTTCCAAACTTGAATGTCAAGAGCAAAACTCTGGCTATTAAATAATAACAACAATCCCAATGAAAAACAACAAAATGAGAAATCAGAATTATGGACATATTATTATTTTTAGCTACTAAATGAGTCTCTTTTGTTATTGGTGTAGATTTACTCAGAGTCCTTGGATTTGCTGCACAAGACTTTGCAGAAGACTGGAAGCTAACAGATGCTAGCATGAGCAGGAACATGATTAAAGAAGTAGCTTCCACTTCAGTCTTTAATTTCTTCAGATGATTTCATGTTGGCACCTCAGTCCTTTGCGTAGCCTTCTGTTTTCTTCTCCCACTTTGCTGTCGTCTGGGCAACTCTCAGTCCTTTTGGGTGAAGGGACACAGGAGCTTCTCTGAGTCCATTGTGATGACGGACCTAACACTCTGGTACCCGAATTGGCTGCATTGCTCCTTCTTTCCTTTCATTTTGAACCCAGGGTTCGACCCCACAACATTCCTGGTCTGGCTGCTCCGGGCCTGGCTGCTGCTGCTCCGGGCCTGGCTGCTGCTGCTCGGGACCTGGCTGCTGAATGGTTTTTAAAGGAAAACTTGTAAATTGAGCTGCACCTAAACTCATAATAAAATGCCATTCAATGAATTGCGTCTCTCAGTGCCTATCTAACAATAAGCCTGCACTGCATGTCCAAGTCAGGCCAGCCGAGATGGCAATGGCATTGGCCCTTATCCTTGAGCCCCTCCATTTGAGAGGAAGGCAAAGCAGAGAACTCTTCAGAGGGGAGGTTATCTTCTCAGGCAGTCTGATGAAAGGCTCTTGAAGAAACACTTGCCATATTGTTTTTGCCACCTAACACTCCAAGTTGGCTGGAGAACAAATGTACAAATTATTTGAGTTCCAGGTGGCATAATTCAATCAGATACATCTCCAGGCTTCTGGGGCACTGATCCATCATCTACCTCTCTGGGAGCAGCAGAGAAAGAGGTCCAGCTGTCTCCACAGGCATCGTGAGCTGGATAAGGTTCCAGGCACAGAATATGTCGCCCATAAGCTCCCTCCCAGGATTATCTTTTTAATGTACTGGTAAATGGGACCCTGAGCACCTGTTTTGTCACTTTCAAATGTTATCTCACTGAATTCTCACAACAGCCCTCAGAGGTAGTTTTTAATACATTTTGAGTTAATTCTTGTATATGTTATAATAAGGTGGTCTAGTTTCTTTGTTTTGCATCTATCTATCCAATATTCCCAACACCAATTATTGAAGAGACTGTCTTTATCCCATTCTTGCTTCCTTTATTATAGACTAGTGGCCCAGGGCACAAAATTCATGCACAGGAGGTGGGGTATCCCTCAGCCCAGCCTGTACCCTCTCCAATGTGGGACCCCTCGAGGATGTCCGACTGCCAGTTTACAGGGATCAGGCCTAAACCAGTAGTCAGACATCCCTCTCACAATCCAAGACTGCTGGCTCCTAAACGCTCTCCTGGCTGCCTGACTGGTCGTCCCCTAACCACTCTGCCTGACGACCTGCTCACCCCCAACTGCCCCCCTGCTGGTCTGCTCACCCCAAACCCCCCACCACCAGCCTGATCACCTACAACTGCCCTTCCCTCTTGGCCTCTAACCACCTCTAAATCAGCCCCACCACCATGGCTTTGTCCAAAAGAATGTCCAGAGGTGTCCTGGAAGGTTTCCCAGTCTAATTAGCATATTACCCTTTTATTAGTATAGATAGAGGCCTAGTGCATGGGTGGGGGCCAGCTGGTTTTCCCTGAAAGTGAACAACTTGGATGAATAAGATCTCAGGGAGTGGTCCAGAAGAGGCAAGTGGTATTCACCAGACTAATGCAGATGCAGATTTTTGTCATGTGGAAGGAGAGCTCAATACAGGTGGTATCACTTGTGAGGTTTGCGGAAGGAGGGACAATGGCAGCTGGCCCTCCAAACTTGCCCTGAATTCATACAACCCAGTTTCTCCCTGCATCCTGCATATCTCTGGCACTCTTCCCTCCTCCCCAACCCAAAAGCCACTGTTCCCAGTGCAAGGCCTGTGAGCCAGTAAACCTGCACACGGGCTTTTTAAAAGAACACCTGGGTTTCCAGCCAAATTCCTTCTCACTCAGATGGATGGAATCTCCACAGATTTTCATAGCCAGCTTCCTTTTGATGCCCTGGTGGAAGCCTGGGTTGAGGAGCCTGTGTGAGGCTGGACCCCTTCCTCCTGAAGGGAGACCTGTGCAGATGATATATCACTCCTGATTCTCAAACACCACAAGTGGGTGCAGGGACAGCCCATATTGCCTCTCCATCCCTCCTACCAGTTTCAACATGGCTTTTTCTTTATATCTTTAAGTTATAGTACTTCTGTCCAGCTATTCTTCAGATCATGTTATAATTCTATAAATTGTTCTAGAATCTACATAAATAACAGCCTAAGTGACTAGAAGATCTGCCGGTTGCTGTGACATGCACTGACCACAACAGGGCAGATGCTTAATGCAGGATCTGCCCCCTGGTGGTTAGTGCATGCCCACAGCTGACCTCCCACAGCCAGCCAACCTCCCATGATCCTTCCTTCTGACTGGCTATCCCAGTGCAGGACTGGGTGAGACAACCGATTGGTTCTAATCACTGACCAGGCCAAGGGACCCCACCCATGCATGAATTTCATGCACCAGGCCTCTAGTTCAGTCATAATTTTGATGTGGAAGGAGGTAAGCACAGCACTTATCTATTCCACCATCTTTACCAGAATTCTCAGGCCCACTCTTTCTTGGTAAATTTAAAATATAAGAGTGTGATTAAAAGAAAGAAAACAAGTAGCCCAAATAGTCAGTTATTGAAATCAACCAAGATTTCTAGAACAAGGGAGACTCAGTAGGTGGCCTAGGTCTTTACATAATTCTGTATCAGGTGAGATATATTTGCCTATTTGAGATAGTCATCTTTGAAGTGGATTCTTTGGTAATCAAGTTTTAAGTAAAGTATTTGCATTATGAAAAAGGGAGGAAAGTTCAGGGATTGTACTACATGTACCTTAATTTAGATAATGACTGTTAGATAAGATGGTCTTCCCTAAATAAACATGATTCAAAGCAATCTGATTTAGTAGCTGCTCCAAAGAGCTTCCCACAATGTAGTATCCGTATCCTCTCAGGGCTGAGCCCATCATTTCATATGAACACCAAAAATCTTTCTGAATAAAGTTTCTGTATTCCTCCATATAATCTCTCTTCATTTTTTTATTAGCCACAAATTTGAGAAACTCACCTTCTATGCCTTATCTAAGTTAAAAATGTTGAAAAGGCAGAGGCAAGGGAAGACCTTTTTAGTACTCCATTGGAGACCTCCTTCTGCCTGGCTTATGATCCATTAGTCAGTACTCTAAGGCTATGGCTCTCCAATAAGCCCAACATGTTCCTATGTTTCTGCTACATTACTACCCATTTATTCTTGGCCTCATCTTCCCTGAGAAGTTAAATATTTTCTAGATAGTCTCAACTAAGAACAACAACTCTCATTATACTTCCTTTTTGAGAGTAGAAATGCCAGCTAAATTGATTGATTACAGAAATGGGAGGAAACAGCATTATAGTTTAACCAGTGTGTAAAGAAGGCTCTTATGTAACCAGTTATCAGTGCCCTTTTCTTCAGAGAAATTTGTTTTTTTGCAAAGAACTGTCGGGATGAAGTTTTATAGCTTTGGAGTCCTGATAGCCACTCTCCTCTTTTGTGAACAGCATGTCTTCGCATTTCAAAGGTAACCTAATGGAATCTTAAAGGGTGATTGGCCATTTTTTCACTTGCATTCCCCATAGAATGTGGTAAGTGCACTGGAATGGGGAGCAATTGTTAAAGTTTGAAGGTCAGCTCTTTCTGAAACTTTCCATGTCGCCCTCACAGATATTAAATTTCAAGAAAAGGATCTCACTAGATCTAGGGCTTGTCTTTTTTCTTCTCTGCTTCCAGTTTTATTATCAGGAGAACTCTGGATTATATGTATATTCAGTGTCTATGGAGATTAACAAAAAATAAACTTTTATAAAAAGTAATTATTTACACCCTAACACATGTAAAATATATTAACTATATAAAATTTATTTTCTTCTTGTATGTGAAACATAGAAGGGAGAACAAAGCCAAAGTATCAAATAGGTGGTTAGGCTGTGCACAAGTATTCAAGCATGGAATATAAAAGGAAAAATAGCTGTGTCATAAGAACAGTCACATGTACATGTCTAATTCTTTATTTTGCTTAGTACAGTGATTTCTTTAGGGTTTCTACTATAAATCACTTAGAAGAACACAAATGAACACATGCTCTGGCATATATGATATGAGGTGAAAGTAGTTTGTAGTTCATGCCTATGTGTAACATTGTAATTTATTCACTAGCTAATATTCAGGATTCTTTATTGATAATGTTTACTTTGGAATTATTTTTTTCTTTGTTTTGCTTCTATGATTCTTTTCTTCTCCAATTTCTCCTGGGACAGATTTCTCTCCCCATGTTAGTAATTGGCAAAGAGAGAAGGGACAGAGAAAATTATACCAGAAAAAAATGTTCTGCATTATGAAAAGCATTTAAGATAATGGAGGTTTACTGGTAAGCCTGAAGTTATGTTTTTTATTCTTTTTTGTTCAATGTGATTGTCAATTGTCAAGAACAAATCTCATCACCAAATAATTGCTGTTATTGAAGTTACACAGGAGTCAAATTACTTAAAAAAAAAAAAATCAGTGATTTATATGTCTCCATGTTTGATCAATAACTCAGATGACTATGATTTCTAAAGTCCTTCCCAGTTCTAATATCCCATAAATTGGTGATTGGCTTTAATTAAGGGTAATGGAGAGGGAAGGAGGAAAACTGATACAACATATCCAAGCTGGTATTGTAGACAGTGACACTATCACTGACAGAGAGGGGAAGAGGAAATGCGTGGTTATTTAGCACCAGGGTTGTCCCGTTCATTGCTCTAGTCTAGGCACTTAGAAGTGTGACCTCTTTAGATGCCTGCAATCCTACACTTTAGGAATCTCTGTTGACATTTTACCAAGGAGAAAACTGAGCCTCAGGAAGAAAAATATAATTTGCCACAAATCAAACAGTAAGTGTAGAGTTTGTATTCAAACCCACGTTAGTCTCATTTCCATTCTATTCATTGCACACCATTGCCTCTAAAAAATCTAGAAAATATAAAAAGAACCAATTTGAAGGGATATCAGATTTGCAAGTTTGTGGAAAAGACAGTCAGTCTGGAATGCAAGGGTAGAGAGAAGCCGGAACTGCAGGTCCCATCAGCTGGTCCTCACCTATAGCAGATCTAAAAGTGGCCTCAGTGCCAGCCCAGCACAAGCACTGTCACCACAAACAAAGAAAATGGACAGAAATGAAGAAATAAATGAGAAAACACCTTCATGCCTGGCTTTTCTTACTATTTTTTGCTTCAACATATACTTTGAAGTCTGGCTGAGACCTGTGTTAAGGAGAGAAATGAGACAATGACTATATTTTAACCAAATAATATCAAAAATATTTAATACTTTGTGTCTATGGTGATGGTCTCTATGTTGTGTGAGCAGAAGCATATCTGATTTCCCAGTCCCATATCTCCACTAGAAAAAAATTAACTCTTCTTTCTGGGAGAAAAAAAAATTTTTTTTGAACCAAATAATTCTGCATGCTGTTTTTTCAGGAATGGCCAATTACTGAAGCAAAAAGAGAAATCTAATTTCATTCATGGTGACTGATGAATTATCTCTGCGGCAAGGATATAATTTCTTCTTGGAATAGCTAATGATGTGGCTTTTTCTAAAGTGGTTCTTTGTTATTGTTTTCTTGTCCTAATCATTTTCCTAATAATGTTTTGTATTCAGGCAATCACTTAGTGGCAGATTTGTAGTTGTATTGAGATAAATCTCATCAGTGAAATGCCCTGAAATGAAGACAAAAAAGGTTTTAAAGGCATAAATACCATATGCCTAGGAGAAAGGCAACAACAACAAAGAAGTCTCCATATTCACTCGCTTTCAAAGGTCAAACACAATAAAGAGTATATCTAAAATACTGACAAGTACCGGTACAATCTTCCAGACCGAGTCAAGAATAATCAGAGAATCTGATAGACAGATTACAACTAGTGAAATTGAAGCAGTAATCAGAAAAGTGCCAACAAACAAAAGTCCTGGACCAGATGGCTCCACAAGTAAATTTTACTAAACATTCAAAGAAGAACTAGCACCTATACTTCCCAGTTACTCAATCAGGGCAGCACACATGGCATCTACTATATAATCACATCTTGTGCTACTCAAAACAATCTGCTTCATAAAATACATTTTTGTATTCTGGTTGGTCTCTTTTCCTGAAAGAAACAGTGGAATTAACTACAGTCCCTACAGCAATAGCAAGTCTTGAGAGACTTATTCATCATTCCCCTTTTCTACCATCTATTCTGTCATTGTCAGTACCTATCCTGGTCTAGGTGGCCTGCCTGGTGAGATAACACAAGCCTGCAGCTTTCAAGGGTTTGAGGCACCAATCACCAGGCCCTTTTGGTCCATGTCTGCTGCATTTGTCAACATATGAAGAAATTAGATAAGGGAATATCACAGAATGTCTAAGTTTATTATCTGATAGCCAATTATATTCTTGCCTGCCACCTTCACTGTGTGAACACAACCCTCGATATCCTCCTGATGACCAAGGTCAATTGCCCCTTCCAGCAAGATAACTCCTCTCCTTTCTGATCATCTCTTGGCACATTGAGACAGAAATATTGTGTAGCAGCAAGAGCTTTCAGTTTAATAGAACTCTATATGTCTTGTGGAAAGATTTTTCCTCTGGATACCAGGACTTTTAAACTTACAGAACCCATATTTGTAAATTCAAAGTAAAATTTCCCTACATGGGTCAACTCGGAATGATAGTAAATCCAACTTGATTCCTGGAACCATGTATTCTATCTAGTGGAGACACAGAATTATATGTTATTTATTTAAAGTATATACTGTATTCTAGAGGATGTTGCCCCTTTCCAAGCTAGCACCTCAGCTGATTCTTCAATAACCTATTCTAAATGCTGTATCAAGCTAGTAGTTTCTGAGTGGTGTGATATGTGATATGCACAGTGGATCCCATGGAAATGTGCACAATATTTTGAAAAGTGGATCTCTTGACCTGATAAAATATTATGTGGGATGCTGTGTCCATGGATCATACATTGTATAAGCCTTTATATGGTGATGCTGACTGAGGCTTTGAAGGCAGAAGAGGCAAACCTAGACCCATAATGAAAGGCAAGTGATGTAGTCACTTTGTCACCATGTGGTTGCCTGGTCTCCTCGAGGAATGATGCAGATTGAAGGTTCACTTTGACCTCTTCATAGATCAAATCTCCTTCTGTCTAACTTTTCCACTTTTAAGGATCTTTGTGAAACCATTGGTAATCCAACATAATCTTGCCATTTTAAAATCCTTACCTTAGACACCTTTGCAAAGTCACTTTTGTCATGTAAGGTAATAAATTCAATTATTCTGGGAAATAGGGCATGAACATTAGACTACCTACCACAGTAAATATGACAAAGCCCAGCTCATGGTGGGTGAGACTGGCCCCATAACCACTTGTTGTCCCATGGTTAGCATTCTGTCTATATTATGGCCCAATAGCTTCCAGGAATTATTTTTTAATTAAATATATAATTCTCCACAGTAGATATTATCACTTTGCTCTAGGTCAGTGGTCGGCAAACTCATTAGTCAACAGAACCAAATATCAACAGTAAAATGATTGAAATTCCTTTTGAGAGCCAATTTTTTTTTTTAACTTAAACTTCTTCTAATGCCACTTCTTCAAAATAGACTCTCCCAAGCCGTGGTATTTTGTGGAAGAGCCACACTCAAGGGGCCAAAGAGCACATGTGGTTCATGAGCTGCAATTTGCCGACCACTGCTCTAAGTGCCTATATTGTGAGTTTTCTATTAGGAGATACCAAAACCTTCAAGTGGCATATTTTCCCACCACAAATGCCCATGTGGTATGAGGGGTCTTGCACTACAGTCTGAACCTTTCCATTCTGGGCCTCTCACAAAATGGTAAATTTTTTTGTCATCCAATATATGTTTTGAAGCAGTATTTCCAAGTGAGCTATATTCAAAACCCAAGAGACCTACCAAGAATTGTGCTCCCTTCTTTAGCATGGGAGGTTGAGATGCAATTAATCATCTGTTATTTTTTTTATTTATATTATTACAGGTATCCCCTATCCCCATCTTTGTCCCCATTCATCCTCCCCTACCCCACATTAGGCTTTCCCCATGCTCTTGTCTGTATATATGGATATGTTATTCAATTAATCTCTTACCATCCCATCTACCACCCTTCCCTCTGAGATCTGTCAGTCTGTCCCATGTATACATGCCGCTGAACCTAGTATTTTGTTCATCAGTTTATATTGTTGATTTAGATTCCACATGTAAGTGAGGTCATGAGGATACTTGTCTTTCTCTGACTGGATTATTTCACTTAGTATAATCCTCTCCAGGTCCTTTCATGCTGTCTCAAGAGTAAGAGATCCTTTTTACAGCCACATAGTATTCCATTGCATAAATGTATCATAACTCTTTTTTCCACTTATCTACTGATGGACATTAGGCTGTTTCCAGATCTTAGCTATTGTAAATAATGCTGCTATAAGTATAGAGGTGCATATACTCTTTCTGGTTTGTATTTTGGGATTCTTAGTATATATTCCCAGAAGTGGGATCACTGGATCAAATAGCAGTTACATTTTTTTTTTTTTTTCAGGAAACTCCATATTGTTTTCCATAGTAGCTGCACAGTCTGAATTCCCACCAGCAATGCACTAGAGTTCCCTTTTCTCCACATCCTCAATAGCAGTTGTTTGTTGATTTATTGAAGATAGCCTTCTGGTCGGTGTGAGGTGATACCTCATTGTCATTTTAATTTGCACCTCTCTGATTAGTGGCATTGAGCATTTTTACATGTATATCATCTGTATTTCATCTTTGAAGAAGAGTCTATTCATTATTTTGAAAGGGATTTCCCATCTATCCCAGACCACTAGACCCTATAATGTTTCTAGTGTGGCAGACCCTGAATCTCTATGGTATTTTTTGCCCACTCTTGAAAATACATGTGTGTTACTAAGACCTCCAATGCACTTGCCACTTCTTGCTCATCTGATCTGATCCATGATTCACATGATGACACTGATATAGTACACTGATATAAACATAAAGGCTAGTTCTCTTTGATTGTATTATTACATCTAGTGGGAAAGTTAATCTAAGTTTGAAGCAAGACTGTAAATATATATTGGTGTCTGTCCCAGTGTGAACTGTTCTGATGCTTTTTTTTTTTTTTTCTGAAAGGGATATCCAGTTCAACAGCTAAATACTATACACCTGGGGCCCTGCTCAGCAAAGATACCACATTGAGTACAGTCACTACAACTGATATTCCTACTTAGTTGAGTTTTATTATTCATTGTCATCCCCTAGAATCCATTTGGTTTTTGTGGGATCCAAATTGGTGAATTGAAAGTGAATTTGATGGGAACCACTATCACTATATCTTTAGGTCTTTAAGAGTGGTACTTATACCTGCCATTTCCTCCAGATGCATTTTTTCAAAATAATTTTGCTATCTTGGCTGTGAAGGGGTGGGAGTGGGGTTGTGCCGAGGTTCTTGTTCTGGCATTAAGAAGAGTTCAGCAATCTGGAAAAAGGCTGTGTGCAACTTAAGTAAGAATCCAGAGATAAAAGATAATTTTGAAAGACATTGGAGATCAGAGGAGCCTAGCTAAAGAAACTAAGTTCTCATTGTCTCAGGACCCCTTGCTTTTTATTAACACAAATTGTCCTAAGGCAAGGTGGAGAAATACACTTCAAAGGGTAGGGTTTCATCTACACTGGCAGTGTTTCCCAAACTTCTCTCATGATGAGAATCACCTGGTGGAGTGCCCCACCGTTGTTGCTGGTCACCCACCATGTTCCACTCTGCCCCCTGGTGGTCAGCATACATCATAGCAAGCACTTTAACTCCTGGTCAAATTCCCTGCTGAAACCGGTTTGGCTCAGTGGTACAGCGTCTGTCTGTGGACTGAAAGGTCCTGGGTTCGATTCCGGTCAAGAGCATGTACCTTGGTTGCGGGCACATCCCCGGTGGGGGTTGTGCAAGAGACAGCTGATCTATGTTTCTCTCTCATCGACGTTTCTAGCTCTCTATCTCTCTCCCTTCCTCTCTGTAAAAAAAAAAACCAATAAAATATATTTTTTAAAAAAAATTCCCACGGGGACAATTTGCATATTAGCCTTTTATTATATAGAATAAGCTAGTGTTGGCATAAATATTCCCTATGCACCAAAAATTTAATTTTTGAAATTAACCCACACACATACACACACACACACACACACACACACATGGAAAAGAGTAAGCACTCTGCAAACTGACTGCCATTTAAGAGAGCTGTTGATTTTGCAATTGCATAGGAGCAAAAAGAATGAGTGAGTATATCTTCTCTTTTTAGCACCACATAGTCTGTAGCAAGACCCTCTTTTCTTCTAACATTTAAAGTTTGTTTCCTTTTTGTAATTATCTCAAAGCCCCTAAAAGTATAATTTATTTCATTTTTACTTTTTATTTAACATCAAAATTCTGTTTCATTTTTCCCCAGTGGCCAGGTTTTATCAGCTCTTCCTAGAACCACAAGGCAAGTTCAAATTCTGCAGAATCTTACTACAACATATGAGGTAATTTTTCCCTTATTTATCTGCATACTAGAGGCCCAGTGCACAAATTGATACATAGGTGGGGTCCCTAGCCTGGCTGGCAATCAAGGCCTATCAAGGCGGGTGGGGGGGGAGAGGGGTGGCCAACCAGGAAGAGGGGGCGTGGCAGGTTGGCCAGCTGTGGGGAGAGGGGCCGCAGGAGGTTGGCTGGCCAGGGGGAGGGGATATGGGAGGTTAGCTACCTGGCCCCCAATTGGGGCTGATCTGGGGGACCAGCCAGCAGGGGAGAGGGCTGAGGGAAGTTGTCTGTGGGAGCACACTGACTACCAGGGGCAGCTCCTGCATGGAACGTCTGCTCCCGGTGGTCAGTGCATGTCATAGTGACTAGTCAGCTGGTCATTCTGGTTGTTTGGTCATTTAGGCTTTTATATATATATATAGACTAGAGGCCAAATGGACAAACTTCCTGCATGGGTGGGGTCCCTAGATCTGGCTGGTGATCAGGCTGATCTGCAGGGAGACTGATGGAGTGATCAAGGGGGCCCCACTGGCACCTGCCTTGGCCAGCCTGGTGCCACCCACTTGCCAGCCCCGCCCCTGTTGCCATCACCAGTCACCTCCCTCTGCAGGGCAACGGGTGGAATGATTGGGGGGGGGGGGCCTCCCTGGCACCTGCCTTGGCTGACCTGGGGCCTATGGGCTGGGGGAAACTCCCGCATTGAGCATCTTCCCTCTGGTGGTCAGTGCTTGTCAGAGCAACTGGTCATTCCACTGGTTGCTCTGCTGTTTGGTTGATTTGCATATTGGGCTTTTATTATATTAGAATTATTTCATTTTGTGGAAGTATTGTATGCCATGCTCTCTCCTATACATTTTCTAACTTACATATAGCTGTATAAACCCTTCTTCTTATACCCTTTTCCTCTTCCCATAATTACATGATTTTATTGGTTCCCAAAATCAAACCTTCTTCATTTGTACTTTTGGCTTTTTAGCTAACCACGTAACAGTACCTTGGGATTGAAAGTGTGTACTTATAAAGATACTATGATAAAAGGAAGTTCAATAGGACTTTGCTTACAAAACAATGGTTTTTAACTATAAGAAGCAAACATTAAAAAAGACAAGGGAAAATTTACTAGCATTTTCATGCCTGGGACCCATCTCCCCAGAATGCCTCATAAGGGCTACAAAATATCAGGGTAAAAGTTTGACAGCTCCATGTTTTTCAGTTAGACCAGATTAAGGTTTGGAGAGAAATACATGTGTAGCATGAAGAGGGGGGAGCTGGAGATGACTGGGAGCACCCTTAAACCATGCAGCTCTGACACCTGTGCAGAAAGGAAGATTGTGTATGAAGAGTCTCTAGACTGAAGGGCAGTTCCTATGTAGGTCTGGGGGGACCAGTGATGAGTCCTTAAGCCAATGTCACATCTAAGAAGAAACTCCTATCTAGCAGGAATAGACCTGCTTTATTTTTTTTGGACCTGCATTAATATAATCATAATGCTCAATCACTGGCCTTCTACAGCCCCGGAGAAGAGCAGGAACAGCTGGTGAGATCAGTAAACTATATTTCTCCCAACAGAGGAGTTGAGCAGTGAATTTTCACAGCCAGCACATTGTGGACAGAGGAAATACCACCAAAGGAAACGTCAGAAATTTAAAATTTAGTTCTTAGTCTGCCACTCCTAAGTGTGTGATTTTAGACAAGTTGACTATGAGCCTTTATTTCTCCACCTGAATAGTAAAAAGAATAACACTTACTGGGTCTATATCAAACTATTACTATTATGATCACAGGAAATGAGTGTGAAAGTGCTTTGAAACGTGCAGTGAAATAGGGAAAAAATGTGAATAATTTTGTAAGATATTGACCAAAGCTCATAGTTAGATTAAAGAATGAAAACACAGACATGATGATTACATCAAGAATATGGATTTTTTAAAATTTAAAAAAATGCCATTTTATCAAGTTTCTGTACAAAATTTTATTTCTCTTCTAAGCATCTGACATACTAGTATACATCCAGTTATATACAGTTGGGCCTTAAGTATATTCATTCACTCCTTCATTCATTGTTTCATCAAATATTTATTGAGTACCTACCATGTTTCAGGCCCTCTTTAGGAACTGAAATTGCAGAGAAAAATAAAACAAGCTCCACACAAAATAAAAGCTTATAATGCCATGTGTATAAATGAGGACCAGTGGCCAGGAAGTATATTTTCACTAGAGGCCTGATGCATGAAATTCGTAAACGGGTAGGGTTCCTAGGCCTGGCCCATGATCAGAGTTGATCTGTGGGTGAACTGGTGGGGCAATCAAGGGGCCCCCACTGGGGCAATGAGGGGGCCCCCATCTTGGCCAGCCTGATATTGCATGCTCGCAGGCCCTGCCCCCCCCCCCCCCCCCCCCCCCCCCCGCTGCCACCACTACCAGTTGCCTCCCTCTGCAGGAGGCGACCCGTGGAGCAATTGGGGGCAACGCTGGTCTACTCACTGGCCAGCCCCACCCCACCACCCCATTCACCAGCTGAGCCCTGCCCCCTGCCACCTCCCACTCTCTGGCCAGCCTCATCCCCTGCCACCAGTCACCTCCCTCTGCTGGGCAACCAGCAGGGTGCCTACTGGCACCTGCCTTGGCTGGCCTGGGGCCTGAGGGTTGGGGGAAGCTCCTCATTGGGCTTCTGCCCACTATTGGTCAGTGAACATTATGGCAACCAGTAGTTCCATGGGTCATTCTGCCATTCAGTCAATGTTCATATTAGGCTTTTATTATATAAGACTAGAGACCCAGTGCATGAAATTTGTGCACGAGGGGGGGTCCCTCAGCCCAGCCTGCAATGATGCCAGCATCCAGCACCCTGGCTGCTATGAATGCCACCATCTTTGTGATGGAGTGATGGTTAATTTGCATATTACCTTTTTATTAGATATGATGATTCTCCTTACAGACACACTTTTATGAGACTAGCTACAGATGAGAATAATATGAACAACATTTTTGTTTTATCCATTTTTCCACTTAAAACTGCAGATTGTTCTGTGGCAGCCAGTAACAGCTGACTTTATTGCAAAAGCAAAAGAAGTCCATTTTTTTGTGAAGGCAGGTGATATAATCAATGTGAAATCCCACTTACATGACAGCAGAATTCAATTCAGGTAAGCATCATCTAATTTTTAATGAATAGTTATTATAAGCACCCATGAGGTATTTGACTAGCAGATAGTACAATTGCTTTTTGGAAAAACAATACTATGTTAGATCTCCAAAATAGACTGGTGATAAAGCTCAAGTAGCTGGCTCTGTGACCTTGAGCAAGTGTTTTAACTTCTCATGACCTTGCTCCCTTATCTCAAAATGATTGTTAGACTCAATGAACTGTGCAGTTTCTTATAGGTCCTCCTAATTCCTTCCTTCTTATAGTTCCTCTAATGTATACCCAGACTTGGCGAACAAAACTGTTATCCTCTTGAGTAGACTTTGTGGTACCTTTCAAAAGCAACTGGTAAAGAAGATTTTGCTTCCTTCACTAGATCATTGAACATCCCTGAATGTCTGCCTCTAAACTAAAATGCATCAATTGCAGTTTCTGCTCAGAGTTCATGCCCTCTTCCTTTTGAAGTCTCCTATCCAACATCTGCTGTCTGTGTCCATTGTTCAAATGCCAGTGTCCTCCTGTTGCCCTAGCACTTCCTGAAGGCCATGCTCTCTTCTCTGCACCAGAGGGCAACCTTTGGAGAATACTCTATGATAATTATTAATAACTAGAGGCCCAGTACATGAAATTAATGCATGGGGGAGGGGGGGATCTTTCAGCTCAACCTGTACCCTCTCTAATACGAAAGCCCTTGGGGAATGTCCAACTGCCAGTTTAGGCCTGATCCCTGTGGCAGTTGGACATCCCTCTCGTAATCCAGGACCTCTGGCTCCTAACTGCTCACCTGCCTCTGTCTGCCCTAATCACTCTGCTTGCCTGTCTCATCCCCCTAACTGCCCTCCCCTCCCAGCCTGGTCACCCCTAACTGCCCTGTTCTGCCAGCCTGGTTGCCCCTATTAACTTTTTTAAAAATAATAACTCTTTCACACACAATTGTATTTGAATTCCTTATTGGCTTCTCCCTCTCACACAATTTTTCTCTCTCCTTTATGTAACACTTTTTCCTACTGACTCATCATTTATAAACTTTTCTTTCCTTCTTATTTCCATCATCCTTCTTCCCATCTTTCTCCTACCCTCCCTCCTTCCCCACATTCCTTCTTTCCTTTATCTTTACCCCTCCTGTCCCTCTCCTTTTCCTTCCTTCCCACCTTAACTGTTTTCTTCACGTCCTCCCTCAGACCGGCTTTGCTCCCTCCTCCATTTCTTTCTTCTTCAAATTTTCCTTTTAAGCTTTACTGGCTCCCCTTTAAAATTTTTCTTCCCTCTCTCTTTCTCTCTCATCCAATATTTTCCATACATTCTTTTTTTCCCCAGCTATTTTCTTTCTTTTTTTTTTTATTAAGGTATTATATGTGTACATATCTTACCATTGCCCACCCGCCTCCACTATTATACATGCCCTTCCTCCCCAGAGTTTTTCGTCCATTGGTTTTGCTTATGTGCATGCATACAAGTCTTTTGATTGATCTCTTATCTCCCCCAGATCTCCCTACTCTCCCCGCTGTAGTTTGATAGTCTGCTTGTTGCTTTACTGTCTCTGTATCTATCTTTTTGGTCATCAGTTTATAATGTTCTTTATTATCCATAAATGAGTGAGATCATGTGATGTTTTTCTTTCATTGACTGGCTTATTTCACTCAGCAAAATGTTCTCCAATTCTATCCATGTTGCTACAAATGATAAGAATTCCTTCTTTTTTATGGCAGCATAGTATTCCATTGTGTAGATGTACCATAGTTTTTGGATCCAATTATCTGCTAAAGGGCACCTAGGTTGTTTCCAAATCTTAGCTATTGTAAATTGTGCTGCTATGAACATAGGGGTGCATATATTCTTTTTGATTGGTGTTTCTAGTTTCTTAGGATATATCCCTAGGAGTGGGATTACTGGGTCAAATGGGAGTTCCATTTTCAGTTTTTTGAGGAAACTCCACACTGTTCTCTACAGTGGCTGCACCAGTCTGCATTCCCAACAGCAGTGCACGAGGATTCCTTTTTCTCCACTGCCTCTCCAGCACTTGTCGTTTGTTGATTTGTTGATGATAGCCATTCTGATAGGTGTGAGATGGTACCGCATTGTTTTTTTCATTTGCATCTCTCAGATAATTAGTGACTTTGAGCATGTTTTCATGTGCCTCTTGGCCTTCCTTCTGTCTTCTTTTGAAAAGATTCTATTTAGATCCATTGCCCATTTTTTAATTGGATCATTTATCTTCCTTTTATTAAGTTGTATAAGCTGTCTGTAGATGTTGGAGATTACTTTTTCATACATTCTTCTCTATTTACTTCCACTGTTTTAATATCTATCTACCCACCTAATTATTCACTATCATTTATCTTTTTTCTTTTCTGACTCCTACTTTTAAAATCTATCCCCAGTACACAGCTATACTTGATTTTCATTATAGCTCCTACAGTTCACTAACACATCCTTTTTTCTTCTTTAACTCTGTTCTCTACTAATTCCTTTATAAAGTTCCTCCCTCCCTCCCTTTTTTTTTTAATATTTCTTATTGATTTTTTACAGAAAGGAAGGGAGAGGGAGAGTTAGAAACATGGATGAGAACATCAATATGCTGCCTCTTGCACACCCCCCTCTGGAGATGTGCCACAAGATACATGCCCTTGTCTGGAATGGAACCTGGGATCCTTAAGTCTGCAGGCCGACGCGCTATCCATTGAGCCAAACCGGTTATGGCCCTCCCTCCCTTCCTAAAGCTTCCGTTGGAGGTGGAGGTATTAACCCCAGCCCAGGGCTCAGCCCCGGCTAGGTGTTCACCGCTCCTCCTTCCCGGCCTCCCCACCACTGTCCTGCTCCCATTCCCTGCCCAGGACACCCCATCCAGCGAGAGTGGCCCATGCGGCCTGGGCACTGCTGCTGCCACTGCAATGCAGGAGCGCCTCTGCCCAGAAGGTCTCGGACCGTCCACCTCTCAGTCCCAGGCCTGTGGGCGCCGCCCCGCCAACAGCCCGCACCAGGGGCCACCACCCTCCTCCCATGCCTGACGGGGCTTGCTCCCCGCCCCTCGCTGGACTCACCTGCTCTCCCCCTCCACCCCCCTCCACACACACACACACACACACACACACACACACACACACACATACACACACACATACACACACACACACACACACACACACACACACACACACAGTCGCCACTCCCTCCCACGTGCAGCCCTGAGTTTCCTTCCCTTTTCCATTCCTGCATCTTTTTCTTGTTCCCTCTCTGTATTTCTGTTTCTCCTCTCTGCCTGTCTGCATGCATGCCTGCCTTCCTCTCCCTCTCCTTTCTTATCCCCTCCTATCGTATCCTATCCTACCGGGCCTTGCAGCTGCCTGAGCAGAGGGCAGGGATGCAGCCTGCTTATCCGGTCACAATGTAATGCTGTAACAGATAATTTGCATATTTCTCTATTATTAGTATAGATTTTTGTTATTGGTGTTTACTGCCTTCTAGAAACTATGCTGGGCGTTTTTATACATTGTATCATTTACTCTTTAACTCTATGAGATAAATACTCTCCTCAATTTGCAGGTGAAAATGTTTTTCAAACTTACAAATGAATTTCTCTATGTCAATTGGCAAGAATATAACAGAGCTAGGAGTTGAACCCAGATCTTTCTGATGTCAAAGGCTTGATTTTTATCTATTGGCCTCACTAAAAGTAAATAAATATTATTAAATGATAGCTAACTTTCAACTTGTTTATCTCAGATAATTAAATGGCTGAGTCGGTTAAAATGTTTGTCTCATTAACATTGTGGCACTTCTCAAGAAGTTTCACCTTGTAGAACTTTTGCTTGTTAGATTTCTTAGTGATTTTTCCCATGCTCACCTATTGTAGCTACAATGGGCCATGTGGGGAAATCAGGGCCGTTTTTGAAAACCAGCTCACCCTCTGTCTTATCGTCTAGTATCTTGTTGGAAGATGTGGAAGATCTAATCCGCCAGCAGACTTCCAATGATACCATCACCCCCCGGGCCTCCTCCTCATTCTATGAAAATTATCACCCACTAAATGAAGTAAGCCATCACATTTCTCTCCAAAATTACTATTTTCATTTTAACCAGCATTTTCACTTCAATGATTATTGAAATATCATAATTAATGGAAAGGGGTAAAAAATATTACAATTAGGTTGATCATATGGTAGTAACTCTTCCTTTTGTAGATATTTTCACTGGGAAAATTGCCATCATATTTGGTAAACTGACTCTAAACAGGATTTTGTCCATAACTAAGAGTATCTCTACCTGCTAGGAGTAATACTACATACTAAGGAACAGCAGAAAATAATAAATAGGGCCTTTGTATTGAAACTGCCACACAAAAATTTAACAGTCCACTGTGTTAGTCTGCCATAACAAATTACCACAGATTGGACAGCAGAACGTTATTCTCTCATAGTTCTGGAGGCTGGAAGTCAACAATGGAGGTATCAATAGGGTTAGCTTCTCCTGAGGCATCTCTCCTTGACTTACAGATGGCTGCCTTCTTGCTATGTTCTTACCTGGCCTTTTCTCTGTTATGTACACATCCCTGGTGCCTCTGTATGTCTCAGTCTTTGCTTCTTATAAGAACATCAGTTAGAATGTATTAGGACCCATACTAACAGCCTCATTTTAACTTAATTACCTCTTTAAAGGCCCTATCTCCAAATATAGTCACATTCTAAGATACTAGAAGTTATGTGCTTTAACATATGAATTTGAGAGGAACACAATTTAATGACATTCCAGAAAATGCCTTGGAACTCTCCTCCCTTCCACCCCCACTCCTTTCTAGGAGGCTCATAGGAACCATAGAAATCTTGCTCTCAGAAAATTCCTCCAAATCCTCCTTCCCCTTCAGCACTGATCTCCTTTTCAGTCCTCACCACAAGGTGGGCAGGATGTATTCTTTTGTCATTGACTCTCACTAAGAAATCGTAAGTAATCCACCATGGGGAGAAAAACAAATAGCCATAAAAGTACTTTTTAAGCTGAGACCGGTTTGGCTCAATGGCTAGAGCGTCGACTTGGGGACTGAAGGGTCCCGGGTTCGATTCCGGTCAAGGGCATGTACCTTGGTTGCGGGCACATCCCCACTAGGGGATGTGCAAGAGGCAGCTGATTGGTGACTCTCTCTCATCGATGTTTCTAACTCTCTATCTCTCTCCCTTCCTCTCTGTACAAAATCAATAAAACTATATATTTTTTTTAAAAGTACTTTTTAAAACAAATAGCAAAACAAGACAGTTATTCAAAGGATGTTATCTTCATTACCTCAATTAGATTGTGAAATAAAGAGTCTTCTATAAAACTGCCTTCATATACCGTAATACAGCCTCCTCTGTGGGAGGAACTCTACTGAACCATCACTGGAACACAAAACAGTTGTGTGTAGTTGTTCTTTCAGATGTAGTTGTTAACGAAAAAAAACATTGAAACCTGTAAAGAATTTTTTAAAGAGTTTATTTGAGCCTTACTGTCGACAATTGCCGGGAAGCAGAACCTCAACGGATTGAGATAATGCTCCGAAGAATGGTGGGTTACATTTTTCTATTTATACACCGAAATCAAAGGAGGGACATAGGTGGGTTACATGAAATTCATTGGTGATAGAGTAAGGAGGCGGGAGAAAGCAAAGCGGTGGGAAAGTCCTGGGATTGGATAAAAAGTAAAATGATGGAGGTGTACTCAGGTGAGTGCAGGGACAATTAACATGATAAAGAAGGAATTTGGGGCATCTGTCCAGGCGCCCATCATATTTGGTTGTTCCCCAGGGGCTCCGGAAAAAAGGGAAGTTACAAGTTACCCAGACATCTCCTAGATATGTTATTTTAGAGGCAAAAAGGCAGATGGGCTCAGTAAGAAGATCAAAGTTGATCTTTGTCTGGGAAAATATCTGGGACATGACTACCTACTATAACCTGTTAGATATTTAATTTTCAAACCATCTTTTGTGGTTATCTTAGGTCTCTGGGTTTGCAAGACTGCCACACAGGCCTTCCCTGAGCTTGTCAGGTTAGCATGTGGCTTTTTTCTTTCACTTAGTCATTCCTTAGAAGAGTAGCACGTAAACAGAGGCCCACTGAAGAAATCCTCAGACATAGGCAGCGCTGGTGTTTGGCAGCAGGTAGGCTTCCCAGGAGCACCTTGGACACTAGCCTAAAGTCAGGCCTGGAATTTTTTATTTGTCCTTCCACTGTAGTCTTGATGGAATCACAAGTACCACTGGACTGTCATCTAGGAGTCAGGCCCAGAATCAGCCTTTTCAGAAAAGAAAAGAATTGTTTTTCCCTCTAGATTGTTTACACCTTTGCCTCTCATCATTTCACAGATCTTCTTGTGAATTCACAGGTTTCTAGTGGGAAATAACAGCACTATCATTTATCCTGGGCAAAGACAGTGTCCAGGGCTTCCTTGGGTTGCTCTTAAAAAGTGAATTTTTTTAATTTAAGATAAAAGTGAACTTGTGAATGAATGATAAGGAGGATTTCAGACACAGAGGCAGGGATTTGATGTGACGAGCCTTTAAAAATAACTCTTAAGAGACATACTTTAAAGATAAACTTTTCTACTTTGTCATATGGTTCTCAGTACTTTTCTACTCTTTCTCTAAACTTTGATAATTTTCAAAACTTTACTTTTATTGACTTTTCCTCAACAACAGAAGAAACAGCTGCCCCAAGTATTTTAGTTTCTCATTCTTTCTTCATACACAGGTTTTAGAGAGCGCTCCTTCCCTTGACGATGTTGTCTGCTTCCTTTAGTCAGGAAAATGCTTTGAACTTACTCTATGACTGACTGCTTTTGTCCATTTTGATAGATCTATTCTTGGATAGATTTTGTAACTGAGCAGTATCCTGATATGATTGAAAAAATCCACATTGGATCCTCATATGAGAAGCGTCCACTTTATGTTCTAAAGGTATGTTATGGGGGAGTCACTGATCTGTCGACTGCAGGGGATGTGTTAATTCTCTTGTTATAATTTGGATTTTTTTTTTCTTTGAGTTCTATAAGTATTTGTATTACAACTGTTCCTCCACTTTAATATTCAGCTACTTAAGGTTGTTTTTCCCCCTGCTTTACTAATGCACTGTTGGTCTATGAGTGGAAACCCCAATTTTAGAATCTGCTCTGTCTCTTTTATGTGTCATATTAGGTCTAGTAATAATTAATGTCGTTTTCTAATACTTTTTTAAATTGAATTTATTTAAACAATACAACAAAATTTAATCAACAATATAGTTGCCGTTGTTTTCTACTACTTGTGCCCAACGCTCAGGAAGCATTTTAATCCCTCTGTTGTAAAATTCTTGTGATTTTGATGCAAAAAAATTCGGTCAATGCATTTTTGAGGCATTCTTCATTATTAAATTTTTTTCCAAGAAGAAAGTTTTGCAAAGAACGAAACAAATGGTAATTGGAAGGGGCAATATCAGGAGAATATGCAGGTTGAGGGAGAACTTCCCATTCCAACTGGCGCAGTTTTTCAGCAGTGATTCTTGCAGTATGCGGTCGTGCGTTATCGTGGTGAAGAATTACGCCCTTCCGATTAATCAGCGCGGGTTCTTTTTCTCTTAAAGCTTGGGCTAACCTTTCCAATTGGGCACTATACACTGCACTTGTAATGGTTTGGTTAGATGGTAAAAGTTCATAATGAAGAATTCCTTTAAAATTCCACCAAACACACATCACTTTTTTTGCATGCAAGTCAGGTTTTGGCGTGGGCTGCGGAGCCTCATTTTTGTCCAACCATTGAAGCCGCCTTTTCAAATTAACATACAGCACCCATTTTTTATCTCCGGTAACAATTTGCTCTAAAAACGGCAAACGGTTTTGACAAGAGAGGAGCGAACTGCACATTGTGACTCTTTGATTACGGTTGTTGTCGGTCAACTCATGAGGAACCCATTTTCCAAACTTTTGGACTTTGCCAAGTGCACGCAATTGATTGGAAATTGTTTTTTGTGAACAATTTAAAGTTGTCACAAGCTCTTGTTGGGTAATTTGAGGATTTTGCACCAAAAGAGCTTGAAGAGCTTCTTGATCAAAATTGGACACACGGCCTCAACCACTCTTGTCATCTAATGAAAAATTTCCCCCGCGAAATTTCTCAAACCAACGCTGGCATTTTCTGGCACTAACTGCATCTTGACCAAGAGCACTACAGATGTTTTTTGCAGCCTCACTTGCTTTTCTTCCTAATTGGAACTCGTAAAGCATGCAGTGCCGAATATGCTCTTCATCCACCATCTTCTTAGCCCTAGTTTTGAAACAAAAACCAAACCAAACACAAACTTTTTCAAGCAAAACTTGTTAATTGCACTTCACATGTTCTGTAGATACCACGTGTTTGAAGGTTATGTCAATGCAAGTCAACACCAAGCAAGATTTTAAACGAATGTTTAAAAACGACATTGATTATTACTAGACCAGATAGATAAACTCCCGAACTTCAAGACCTACTGTCATAAAATAAAGGGTGAGGAGTGTGGTCTGGATAATTTTTCAAGCCCTTGTTTTATATATACCACCACTACCACCTCTGACTGCTTTATGAAGGAAGAAGAAAAGAAAGAGATAATCTATTATTGGTTAAACACTGACACTGGTACAGGTTTTGGAACAAAACAAAACAAAATGAAACAAAAAGCTGAACAACCAAACCCAAGGAAGGATAAGAACCAGGGAAAAGCTGGGGTCCTGGCAATAGGGTTGATATGATAGCTTCTGCTCCAATCACAATTCATTTGGTTATTTATTTTCAGTTGAAAAATTGGCCTTAGTAAAGGTGAGTAAATGTGGCCAAAAAAGAATTTGTGGGAGCCATAAAACCATACTAATTCTTTCTTGATAATTTATAATTATGTGCTTCTGTTTTGTACCACTTTCCCACCATATATATGTATATATGTGTGTGTGTATATATATATATAATTTTTTTAAAGAAGCTCTGGAAAAAAATAATCATTGGAAAAATATTTTTTTATTAATATTTAATTTACATTTAGTTTCCCAACATTATCTAAATTGTGATAGGTGAGCCTTTTTGATCCTTAAAAAATAAGATTTGGAGTCAGGATTTCTAGGTTTTAATCTGTTCTGAAGAAACTTGCAGTGCAGACTTAAGACAGACATATGAAACATTGGGTCTTCTTGGTGTCTGAGTTGCTCAGATTGGATCCTTGTAATCATGACATCCCATCCATGACATTTGCTATCAGCATGTCGTGTATACTCATTGGAACTTGTGTTTCTGGTACTTAGATGTACATGTGGGAAAACCATGCTTCTTGCATGCTTTAGTCTTACTCTTACTTGGCCAAGGATGCCCAGATAAGGACATAATATAGGTCTCTAGGGTACCTCCTGCTTGCCAGTGTCAGGACTAGGACCAGCAGAGCTTGCTTAGTATGGACAGAAGACAACTAATTCAGACAACTCAGGGTTTTCTATTAAATTGAATAGATTAAATCAGGGAGCCAGTTCTTTCTTTGAGTAATTTAACCTTTCACAGACAGTGAATGTGAATTTCTCACTTGCTTTCTCATTGAATATTTCTATCTCCAAGTTAGTTAAGAAAATCCTCCTTTGTTGATGCAGATGGCAATTTAAAAATCTAACTCTCTCTTTACTTATTTTGAAATTTCAACCCCATATATTCGTTTGATTTTATAACACTCTTCTCCCTTCTCTCTCCATACTCTAAAATTGGGTTGTAACTATTTTTTAAAAGCAAATGAAATATAATTCATTTTGTTTGGAGATGATTTTGAGAATTCTGCTGAAAACATCAAAGGCTATCACTGAGGAAAGAAAGATTGGAAAAAATGTCTCTTTTTCCTGAGACTTGGCGTCACGCACTAGCCCTTCCCATCCCCCAATATTGTGAATCAGAGCAAGCCTACTGTCCACAGACATATTGGTGATAAGTTTGTGTGAAGTTAGATGTGTGATTCTTTTTTTTTTTTTTATTTTTAGATGTTTTGGGTTTTTTTAATATATTTTATTGATTTTTTACAGAGAGGAAAGGAGAGAGATAGAGAGTTAGAAACATCGATGAGAGAGAGTCATCGATCAGCTGCCTCTTGCACACCCCCTACTGGGGATATGCCCGCAACTAAGGAACATGCCCTTGACCGGAATCGAACCCGGGACTCTTCAGTCCCCAAGCAGATGCTCTATCCATTGAGCCAAACTGGTCTCAGCAGATGTGTGATTTTTTGTGTGAAATGGGGAAATAGCCTACTGACTCCCCTTTCTCAAGCCTTTGTGTTCCACACCACTCACAGAATGAATGGGTAGCTGCCTACCCAACTCATAACCATTTACCTCTAAAGATGTGTGAAGAAAGTGCCTGAAGCACTAGTTCTCTGATCTCTACTTCTACATTCCCACGAGTTATAAGTAGTTAAATGTTTGGGGAATAAAAGACCTTTAAGTCAAAAGTCCTGGCTTCAATTTTGACACTTACCAGCTATGTGGTCTTAATAATTTTATCTCTTCACTTTTAATTTCACCAGCTTTAAATTTTCCTTCAGAATTCTCATAATAATTCAGAGACTAGCACATATGTCATATATTTGTTAAAAGGATCTATAATAATAAAAGCATAATATGCTAATTAAACTGGACAACCTTCCAGAGGAAGCCAGGGCTGCAAATTAAGCCCGGGTCCCGGGTGACAGAGGGAAGCCGGTGCTGGCAGCCAGGGGAAGGAAGGCCTACTCTTGCACAATTTTCCTTCATTGGGCAAAATATAAGCCCTAGTTAAAATATAAGCCCTAAATAAATAGAAATTGTAAGGTTTGAGGTGCAGGAAACTGAGCACCAAAACATTTTAAAGTAAAGTTTATTCCCTAGTAATGAGTGGGACTCATTAAGGAGGAAGAGAAATCAGAATTGAAGGAGTGGGGAGGGGACAGGGGACTCAGCCAGGCTGCCTCCTGGACATAGAAGACAAGCAGCACATGGCTGGTCTGGGGGTCTTTTTAAGGGGAGGAACAGGAGAAGGTTGGACCCAGAGTGGGACAGGAAGGGGTGAAGTCCAGGACACTTTGGCACTCACTGATGGGTGGTTCAATGTCTTAGGGATGTCTCTGTGACAGATGACAGTAATGTCATAACTCTGCCCACCTGTTGGGAGTTGGGAGAACTTTATAGAAATTATCCTGAGGATCCTTGTTATTTTTATTTTCTTTGGGCAGGTTTCCAAAAAACAACAAGCAGCCAAAAATGCTATTTGGATTGACTGTGGAATCCATGCCAGAGAATGGATCTCTCCTGCTTTCTGCTTGTGGCTTATAGGCTATGTAAGTACATTATTCACATTCTCTTAAATGCAAATCAATAAATGTGATACATCACATTAAAAAAAAATGAAAAAATAATCACATGATCATATTAACAGACACAGAAAAAGCATTTGACTAAATCTCATACCCATTTTTTATTTTTAGAAAGAGAGTAGAATAGAGGGAGAGAGAGAGAAATATCAATGTGAGAGAAACACATCAATTGATTGCCTCCTGAATGCCCCTGACTGGAGCCTGGGCTAGAAAGAAGCCTGCAACCAAGGTATCAACTTGACCAGAATCAAATCTGGGACCCTTTGGTGCGCAGGCTAAAGCTCCAACTATTGAGCCAAACTGGCTAGGGCCAGCACCCACTTTTCATTAAAAAAAAAAAAAAAAAAAAAAACAAAAAAACCTCTCAGCAAAGGGCAGGGGGAAGGGGGGTGGGCATACCTTAACATAATAAAGGTCATATATGACAAACCTACAACCCATCATACTCAATGGGCGAAAATTAAAACCATTTTCCCTAAGAATAGGAATAAGACAGAAATTTCCCTTTTATCACTCCTATTCAATATCTGGAAGTCTTAGCCACAGTGACCAAATTTTCTAGTTTATCTCAAGAATACAGTGGGGAATTTGCTTTATGTTTATAATCCAGAGTCAGATCAGTACAACCAAAGGAGCCATCAAGCTAGAGGAGTCTTCCCATCTCTAGCCCCTGTAACTTTCAGAAATGTTGAATTCAGTTTTAACTGAAGCACTAAAACTCAAGACTCAATAATATTGCATTATAATCTAATGTGCTGAGAGACTAAATACTGATTATTCCCACCACACACACAAAAAAATGGTATGTGATGTGACAGAATTTATATGCACACATATGCATTGCCCGTGGACACAGACAATGGGTGGGTGAAGGCCTGGGGCAGGGTGTAAACCTGGTAGAGGGGGGCAATGGAGGAAAAGGGGAGCCATCTGTAACACTCTCAACAATAAAGATAAATTAAAATTTTAAAAAAGGCCGTGTGACAATGGGGGCAGAGACTGCAGTGATGTAGCTATGAGCCAAGTAATGCCAAACAACCACCAGAAACTAGGAGAGTATCATGGAACAGATTCTCCCTCAGAACCTCAAGAAGGAACCAATTTGCTGACACCTTGATTTTGGACTTCTGGTCTACAAAAATGTGAGGGAATAAATTTTAAACCAAAGAGAGAGATAGAGAGAGAGGCCGACAAAGAATCCTACAGTGCCGCATATATTAAAACTTCAACAAAAATTGTAGAAATTAAAATGGTAAATGCTTTATTACTTTAAAATAAATGAGGTCTCTAATCTTTTTCTGATAATTAACTGCTATGTTAATACTGAAACATGATAATACTGAATATTTGATGATACATGACTTCAACATAAATTTACAAATTTAATGCATAAAAATGTATTTTATTAGTTACTCAACTCTTGCAAAAATCTCTTCTTTTATTCTATAAAATTTGCTTCCTTTTCATTAAGCTGTCATTTCTGACTCATAGTAGATTTAAAAAAAAAACTTGTACTTTAGCTTTCCTTTTTTCCATATTTCATAAGTGGTTGTCCATTGAAAAAAAAATTAACCTGACATAATTGTTTTAGCAGAATATGAAAATAAAATTTTAAATATTTAAAAAGAGAAAATGGTAAAGCTTTTGCTATAGCTAAGGTAAGATCTGAGGTGTTTTCTTTTGTCAATAATAAAAAAATATTTTAAAAACATCTTTTGAGAAAAGTTTAAAGCAACAAATAATTGTAAACTAATCCACACATTAAAACATAGCAATGTTGCCACTACTTCATTGTGATAGGGTATTTATACCCAAGCTTAGTCCTAGAAGCAATGCTTTAACCAGCTGAAATGTGTCTTTGTGGTTATCCTGCCTTTATATTTGGTTATTTTGGGGTGCACTTCTCAGTCATCAGAATATGGATGTCTTTGGATCATATTGGAAAATATGATCCTAAGGTAGATATGGGTCTAAAGCAAACGAGCTGTGTCAGGTAATGCCTATTAGGAAACTCATAGTCAGTACTTAGGAAAAGCTACCACTGATTTTAAAGCTTGGAAAACATACTGCTACTACAGCAAAAATTTAACTCCAAAAGCTACAAAGACAATGTAGAAAATATCACTACAGTAGTCCTGCCTGGATATAAGACAAAGTTAAAGCTCTGATTGATATGTGTTACTGAAAAAACAAAAACAAAAAACAAAAAAACTATATGTAGGTTTTTGCTTCCTTAAATCTTTGTAGTGGGCTTTATGGATTTAATAAATAATTATTTTTATTCCTCAGAGGAAATTTTATAAAATGTATGGTTCTGTTTTCTGCCTCCATTTAATAGGAAGACCAGTTGTCTCGTTCCCAAAGCATTTACCACCATTGGCAGCTAAGTATCCTAAGTATCCTAGTTTTCCTAGGAATTGATACTCTTCCTAAAAGTTAAATTTGTAAATCTAAACTTGTTAAATTATTTTTAAAAGGGAGGGGGGACACATAAAAGAAACAGACTAGCCTGACTGGTGTGACTTAATGATTGAGCTTCGACAGTGAAGCAGGAGGTTATGGTTTGATTCTAGATCAGAGCCACATGCCCCAGTTGCTGGCTCCATCCTCAGTAGAGGGCCTGCAGGGGGCAGCCAATAGATGGTTCTCATCATTGATGTTTCTATTTCTCTCTCCCTTTCCCTTCCTCTTTGAAATCAATAAAAACTATTTTTTAAAAAGGAAAAAGAAACAGACTAAATTTAGAAGAACTTAAAAGAGATATTATTTAACACACTTGGTTTTATTTGTAGGTAACTCAATTATCTGGGGAAGAAAATCTGTTTACCAACCTTCTGAGGCATGTGGATTTCTATGTAATGCCGGTAGTTAATGTGGATGGCTATGACTACACTTGGAAAATGGTAGGTGAAGGCAAAGAAAAAACTTGCCCCCATTGGGAATACATGATACACTGGATTAATTATTTATAAAATCCTGAATCTTGACACAATCATTTCATTATGAAAAAAGATAATAATAATAATAATTCTCATTACGGAAAAGATCAACCTTATGTGAGTGGAAATAATTTTATAGTTCACTCCTATGTACCTGTCAGCTTTAGAAATAATCACCGTAAGCCAATCTATTTTCATCTATATATTCAACCTTTTTCTGCCTTACCCATATTATTTTAAAGTAGATCTCAGACATCATATAATTTCATCAATAAATATTTCAGTATGCATTTCTAAAAAAGCTCTTTTAAAAATAACCACAGTAGAAATATATCTAAAAATTAAAAATAATTACTTAAAATAAAAGGTTCAATCAATATTTAAATTTCCAATTACATAATAACTTTTAAATAAGTTTCTTTGATTCCGGATCTAAATAAGGCTAATATGCTATGATTGATTTATATGTCTTTAATTCTGTTGTAATCCATATATGGTCATGCTCTCACTCTTCCTTGCAATGTATTCATTGAACAAAAAAGTTTCCCATTGTCTGAATTTGCTAGTTGCATTTTGCCATGTTGCAATTTAACCTATTCCTCTGTCTCCTGTATTTTCTAAAAATTGCTGTTGAGATTCTGTGAGCTTAGTCAGATTTAGAATTAACTTTTTTGGCATTGTGATAGTGTGTTCTCAGATAAGGATGTGTATAATATCTAATTGTGACTCTTTTTGAGATATTAGTTACCACTGATGCACAATGCCTAGATCCATTTATTCTTATTAGGAATCCTTTAAATTGAATTTTTTATTTGAAAAATCATAAACTGCAAGACTTCAAACAGAATTAATTGAACTTTTATTCTGATGATACGTAAATTTAAACCTTAGTACACTTTAATTCAGTCATGAGCATGAGTATCCTGTTCAATCTCACCTCTACTGGAAACCATTATCAATAATTTTTCTAATCTATAAGTATCATGATTCATGTAAAATTACTCAAGCACTATGAAATACATTCTAATTTAGTGAGGGGCACATAAAACATAACTGAGCATGTATCGGTTAAGAGAAACCTACTTGAGTAGCACATGTAAACACTATAGGGAATGAGAAAAGTGCAGGGATTAGGAACATATGGGATTGCACAGGAATAATTTCATGTTGGAGGTAATTTGTACAGAAGATATCAGAATGGAGATAGATTAAAAAAAAATCATCTCAAGTAAGAGGAATACTATGAATAAAAGTTTTCAGGTCGGGGTGGACAAATCCTAAACTAAGTAAATGAGAAATACCTAGCATAGCACACAATACTAACTTAATGTTCAATAGTGATCACATCTAGATGTTGATGTTATAATAAATGTAAGTCTTCACCAGAATCACAGTGGAATTTAGCCACCCTTTAGATGTTTCTACTTTTCAGCTGTCCTTTGTGGCTGAACTCTGCCAACTAGTAGTCCCTGCAGTTCAAGAACCTAATTTCTCCACAGAAAGTGTTGCTACCAAACCACAGGCCAGGGTTTGGAAGCAGAATGAGAAGCTTGATAGAAGTGTTGGTGAGAATTGGGGGAAAGAGTGCCACATCACCCAACCTTAGACCTAAAGGCTGTGCACCTACTTACATGATCAAATTTTCTAGTTTAGCCGAGACCGGTTTGGATCAATGGATAGAGTGTTGGCTTGGGGACTGAAGGGTCCTGGGTTCGATTCCGGTCAAGGGCATGTACCTTGGTTGCGGGCACATCCCCAGTGGGGGATATGCAAGAGGCCCCTGATCGATGACTCTCTCTCATCGATGTTTCTAACTCTATCTCTCTCCCTTCCTCTCTGTACAAAATCAATAAAAAATATATACAAAAATATATATATAAATAAATAAATAAACAAACAAATTTTCTAGTTTACCTCAAGAATACAGTGGGGGATTTGCTTTATGCTTACAAACCAGAGTCAGATCAGTACAACCAAAGGACCCATCAGGCTACAGAAGTCTTCCCAGCTCTAGCTCCTGTAGCTTTTAGAAAATGTTGAATTTAGTTTTAAAAAGCACTAAAACTCAACAGTATTGTATTATAATCTTCAAACTTCTGAGAGACTAAATATTGATTATTCCCACCACAGAAAAGAAATGACATGTGGTGTGATAGAGGTACTAACTATCCATATAATGGTAATCATATTATAATATAATATATAAATGTATCAAATCAACATGCTGTACACCTTAACTTTATGCAATGTGAAATGTCAAATATATTTCAATTTAAAAAAAAGAAAATCATGACTCAGTTTTAATTTGAGTCGTAACACAAAGTTATTTTACTTTTCTTACAAGGAACTCAACAATGAATGATGTTACTTTAAAAGAGTAAGACAAAAAAAAAAAAAGCAAGCCAATAAGCATCCTATTAGGTCTAGTAATAATTAATGTCGTTTTCTAATACTTTTTTTAAATCTAATTTATTTAAACAATACAACAAAATTTAATCAACAATATAGTTGCCGTTGTTTTCTACTACTTGTGCCCAACACTCAGGAAGCATTTTAATCCCTCTGTTGTAAAATTCTTGTGATTTTGATGCAAAAAATTCGGTCAATGCATTTTTGAGGCATTCTTCATTATTAAATTTTTTTCCAAGAAGAAAGTTTTGCAAAGAGCGAAACAAATGGTAATTGGAAGGGGCAATATCAGGAGAATATGCAGGTTGAGGGAGAACTTCCCATTCCAACTGGCGCAGTTTTTCAGCAGTGATTCTTGCAGTATGCGGTCGTGCGTTATCGTGGTGAAGAATTATGCCCTTCCGATTAATCAGCGCGGGTTCTTTTTCTCTTAAAGCTTGGGCTAACCTTTCCAATTGGGCACTATACACTGCACTTGTAATGGTTTGGTTAGATGGTAAAAGTTCATAATGAAGAATTCCTTTAAAATTCCACCAAACACACAACATCACTTTTTTCGCATGCAAGTCAGGTTTTGGCGTGGGCTGCGGAGCCTCATTTTTGTCCAACCATTGAAGCCGCCTTTTCAAATTAACATACAGCACCCATTTTTTATCTCCGGTAACAATTTGCTCTAAAAACGGCAAACGGTTTTGACAAGAGAGGAGCAAACTGCACATTGTGACTCTTTGATTACGGTTGTTGTCGGTCAACTCATGAGGAACCCATTTTCCAAACTTTTGGACTTTGCCAAGTGCACGCAATTGATTGGAAATTGTTTTTTGTGAACAATTTAAAGTTGTCGCAAGCTCTTGTTGGGTAATTTGAGGATTTTGCACCAAAAGAGCTTGAAGAGCTTCTTGATCAAAATTGGACACACGGCCTCAACCACTCTTGTCATCTAATGAAAAATTTCCCTCGCGAAATTTCTCAAACCAACGCTGGCATTTTCTGGCGCTAACTGCATCTTGACCAAGAGCACTATAGATGTTTTTTGCAGCCTCACTTGCTTTTCTTCCTAATTGGAACTCGTAAAGCATGCAGTGCCAAATATGCTCTTCATCCGCCATCTTCTTAGCCCTAGTTTTGCAACAAAAACCAAACCAAACACAAACTTTTTCAAGCAAAACTTGTTAATTGCACTTCACACGTTCTGTAGATACCACGTGTTTGAAGGTTATGTCAATACAAGTCAACGCCAAGCAAGATTTTATTTTTTTTTTTTAATATATTTTATTGATTTTGTACAGAGAGGAAGGGAGAGAGACAGAGAGCCAGAAACATCGATGAGAGAGAGTCATCGATCAGCTGCCTCTTGCACACCCCCTACCGGGGACATGCCCGCAACCAAGGCACATGCCCCTGACCGGAATCGAACCCGGGACCCTTCAGTCCCCAAGCCGACGCTCTATCCATTGAGCCAAACCGGTCCCGGCCCAAGCAAGATTTTAAACGAATGTTTAAAAACGACATTAATTATTACCGATAGCAAAACCAAGTGACTATTATTTCTCTAGGCCAAAATTAATCAATTTTTTTTTGTTTAAACTAAAATAGTTTGAGTTAATATGATTGAGACCAGAATAGAAACAGGAGCTGTGCAAAAAGAATTCTGTGAAGAAAGGGACAGGATGAAGTGATGGGGTTGCAGGAAAGAAATATACCCTGGCCACTTAGGCATTCAAAGTCATGTCTTGCCCAACCAGCATGTCTCAGTGGCTGAGCATGGACCTTTGAACCAGGAGGTTATGGTTCAATTCTCACAACCCAGGCACACACCCAGGTTTTGGGCTCAATTCCCAGTGTTGGACATGCAGGAGACAACCAATCAGTGATTCTCTCTTATTATTGATGTTTCTATCTCTCTCTCCTTCTCCCTTCCTCTCTGAAATCAATACAAATATACATTGAGTGGCCAGATTATTATGATCTCTGAACTCATAATAATCTGGCTATTCAGTGTATATCCTATATAATAAAAGGCTAATATGCAAATTGTCCACTCAGCCAGGAGTTTGGTCAGCAGGCAGTCCCACCACCCATGTCCCCTCTTTCTAGCCAGGCTAGCTGGACCCCACCCATGCACGAATTCATGTACCAGACCCCTAATATAATATTCAGATATCATAATAATCTGGCCACTCAATGTATATTTTTTGAAAAGTCATGTCTTTCTTTAAACCACAAACATGGCCACCCTGGTTATCTGTTTCTTGTTTACTTAGGATCGAATGTGGAGAAAGAACCGTTCTATTCATGAAAACAATCGTTGCACTGGAACAGATCTGAACAGGAACTTTGCGTCCAAACACTGGTGTGGTAGGTTGTTTGTTTCATTTTGGGTAACGTTTCTTCATTAAAGAGATTATATTCATAAAGAAAGGTGCATTAATTTAAATATAGTGGGTCTTTCTGAATCAGCAAATAATTTAAATACACATTTTAGTTAAGAGTAGTGCTATGAATATTAACTAGAGTCAGCAAATTACCTTAACCTCTCCTTTCTGCTGTTTCCTCATCTGTAAAAGAAGGAAGTTAGACCAGTTCTTTAAGTCCCATCTAGTTTCAATATTTTAAAATCCTATTTTTTCTAGAATAATAAAGAAGTGCTGTAATAAACAAGTAATTTCATCCCTAGGATAGCAGACACCAGGGTCAGGTGGGTATCTCTAACTTTTACTTGTTAGAGATACCCACCTGACCCTGGTGTCTGCTATTACATAGTTAAGTGTTTACCTCTATAGTGTTTGAAATCATTTTCTTTTGTATTAACTATTCCCTTTCTTAGCATGTTCTTACTTTCATGAATATTACAAAAATAAACTTATATCTAGCACAGTGCGAGTTTATCATTTCTTGATTTGAATGAGTTAAGGAACTCAGTGAATACTGATTTAGGTATTCAATAATATTGTCTGCTCTCAGGGAAGTAGGTGTTAGTTCAACCTACAGACTCTTATTATATTTCATAGCCACTACATTTAAGAAACAGTTACCAAATAAAACTACACAGATACATGACAGAGGAATGGGAGCATGAGAGATCCCCTTGGCTTCTCCCCTTGAAATTATAACAAGTAAACCAAATATAACTCAACAAAGAATTCCTGCTCAATACAGAGGCATGCCTGAGGATTCCTACATTGAAACATCTAAAGGTGGGCAACTAGGAACAAACAGGGATATGAGCAGGGAGAACAGCACCAATGGCCCACAGATGCAGTCCTGCAGCCGGATCTCAAGGCTGGGCCTGAAGGAGGAGGAAAACAGCAGCAGCAGGCACTTTCTTCGGCCAGGAGGAACAAAGAGCTATAGGGGGCAGCTCAGCAGGAAAAGCAGTGAGTGGAGGGGACAGTGACTGAGCCAGCAGATGCCTGACAGAGCACGGGGTCTGGCCATGTGGCTCTCCACTGTCAGGCTAGACAGTCCTGTTGCCCTTGGAGTCAGGTTGAGGAGCATATCATCTGTAAACCAAGAGGTATTACAGTAGAACCGCTATTTCCCTCTGTGACTGATCCCCACATGAGATGCTTGGGGTGGGGCCCAATGGAGGTCAGGGGAAAAATAAAACACACCAACATGCAACACAGATAAACTGTCTTATGGAAGCCCTGGAGTCAAAACTGAAAGACCACAGAGGTAAAAAAAAAAAAAAAAAATCTTGCAATTCAGTACCATCTACTGGAAAAATCATAGAAGGACTTGTTCAGAGGAAGCTGCTCTCAGCCAAAAATATTCCTATATAATAAAAACCTGATATGCTAAGTGTCTGGTCAACTGGTTGGCCCTTCAACCAATCAAAGTGTAATATGCTAATGATATGCTAAGGATGCTCAAGAACTCGCTATGACATGCACTGACCATCAGGGGTCAACAGTCAACCAGTTGCTTGACATGCACTGACCTCCAGGGGAGCAAATGTTCAACTGGTAGGTAAGCTTGCTGCTTAGGTCCAGCTAATCAGGACTGAGGGACACACCCTGGAGCCCTCCCATGGTCTCCCCCAACTGGCCAATCTCCCATGTCCCTCCCCAAACCCAATCATGCACCAGTAGGGTCCCTCTCACAATCCAGAACCCATGAGATATTGGAGAGCTGGTTTTGCCCCAATCCCACAGGCCAGGCCAAGGGACCCCACTTGTGCACAAATTCGTGTACCATGCCTCTAGTAGACTGATATAAATGTTTAGGTAAAGAAGAACAGCAAATACCATGAATAACCATGGTAACAAGGTTACCATGAAAAATCTCCAGAAAATAGATTAGAACACATGGAAATGTGATATAAATGATGGAGATTTCAACATTGCAGTTCTGAAAATACTCAATGAGAAGCAAAAAAATACAAACAAGCAATTCAATGTACTCAGAAAACACATCAGTGGACAAAATGAGTACTTTACCCAAAGAGATTGAAACTTTAAAAAAGAACCAATCAGAAATCTTGGAAATGAAGCATGCAATCAAGGAAATTAAGAGTGAACTACTAAGGCCTAGCTGGTTTGGTTCAGTGGATAGAGCATTGGCCTATAGACTGAAGGACCCCGGCTTTGATTCCAGTCAAGGGCACATGCCTGGGTTGCAGGCTTGATCTCAGTAGGGAGCATGCAGGAAACAGCCAATCAATGATTCTGTCTCATCATTGATGTTTCAATCTCTCTCTTCCTCTCCCTTTCTCTCTGAAATCAATCAATATATATATATATATATATATATATATATATATATATATATATATATATACACACACACACACACACACACACACACACACACACAAAAGAGTGAACTACTGAGCATAGGAAACAGAGGCAATCAGATGGAGGGGGGAAAAATAAGGATAATGAAGATAGAAATGGCACAGAGGAGAGAAGAGAGACCTGGGCGTAAACGAAAATGAAAGTAGTCTACAAGAACTATCTGACTCCATAAAATAAAAAGCAATTGTAGAAGTATAGGCATTCTGGAAGAGGAAGAGATGAAGCAGAGAACAGAGAATTTATTCAAACAAATAGTGGATGAGAACTCCCCAAACCTATGGAATGAATTAGATCCCAGGATCCAAGAAGAAAAAATAACACTTAGTTACCTCAATCTAAAGAGGTCCTCTCAAAGGCACTTTGTATTAAAACTGTCAAAAGTTAATGACAAAGAAAAAATTCTCAAAGCAGCCAGGGAAAAGAAGGAAATGACCTACAAAGGAAAACCCACCAGAACTTCATATAACTTCTCAGCAGAAACACTATAAGCTACTATAAGAGAGTGGAACCAAATATTCAGACATCAAAAAGAGATGAATTACCAGCCACAAGTAACATACCCAGAAAAAATATCCTTTAAATATGAAGGAGTAATAAAGTCACTCTAAGACATACAGAAGCTGAGGGAATTTATCGCCAGAAAATCTCCATTGCAGGAAATACTCAAGGGAGTTATTCTACCTCAAAGAAAATAAGGTCACACCACTACAAATAAGATCACCAAAATAATTACAGCATAAACAGGGATAATTTGTGACAGCAAAAACATAAAAGGGGTGTGGTTAAAGGTCTGAACTAGTAAAGGGGGATGAAGATCAGACTCACTCAAAAGAAGAAAAAAAACTTTGGTGTATATTTAAGTTTATTATTTATAAACCTAATGGTAACCACACAGAAAAATCTCCAAACCAGTACACATAGCTTAAAAAAAAAAAAAAAAAAAAAAAAGAGGAAACAGAGGAAAGAAATATGAAACACTACCAAGCAAAAACAACATATAGAAACATAAAGGAAAAGGACCAATGGAGGAACAGAGGTACCAGAAAATAAAAGATAAAATGGCCATAGGGAATCCTCATATATCAATAATTACTCTAAATGTAAATGGTCTATGTGCAACCAGTAAAGAGGAACAGAATAACCATGTGGATCAAAAACAAAATCCAACCATATGCTGCCTACAAGAGACACATCTAAGATGCAAAGACAAAGGAAGATTCAAGCTAAAAGGATGGAAAATGATTCTACAAGCAAATAACATCCACACAAAAAGCAAGTGTAATCATACTTATATCTGACAAAATAGATTTCAAGATAACAATAAACAAAGATGGACACTTTATAATGATAAAGGAGACGCTACATAAAAAAGAAAAAACATAACACTTCTAAATATATATTCACTCAACCAGGGAGCACTGAAATATATAAAACAACTACTCACAGAACTAAACTAAGAAACAGATCAAAACACAATCAGAGTTGGAGACCTTAATACTCTCTTTATAGCTCTAGACAGATCAAACAAACAAAATCAATAAAGAAATATCAGTCTTAAATGAAACACTAGACCAAATGGACATAATTAACATTTACAGAAACTTTCACCCCAGAACATCAGATTATACATTCTTCTCTAGTGCACATGGATAGACCATATGTTCAGTCACAAAATTAGCATCAACAAATGCAAGAAAATTGAAAGTATACCAACCATGGTGCCTTGAAATTACAAATCAACTGCAAAAAGGAAATTAAAAAAAAAATCCGTAGAGATTAAACAATATATTATTAAAAAATTACTGGGTCAAAGAAGAAATAAAAAAATGAGATAAAAAGTTATATATAGAGAAATGAGAATAACAATACAACACATCAAAACTTCTGGAATGCAGTGAAAGCAGCTTATGTAACTATAGACCTATCTCAAAAAACAAGAGAAATCACAAGTAAACAACCTAATGTCATATGTTAAAGAACTAGAGAAAGAAGAATAAAAGCAACCCAAAGTCATGTTAAGAAATAATAAAAATTAGAGCAGAATTGAATGAAATAGAAAATAAAAGACTATATAAATTAATAAGACAAAGAGCTGTTTCTTTGAAATGATGAATAAAATTGACAAACCCCTGGATAGACTCACTAAGCTATAATATAAAGGTAAAAGACCTTAAACAAACTCAGAAATGACAGAAGAGATGTCACCACAGACATCATAGATATACAAAGGATCATACTAGAATATTATGAAAGACTATGTTACCAATATCAATAACCTAAAAGAAATGGATAAGTTCCTAGAATTATATCATCTGCCTAGTCTAAATTATGAAGAATTGGAAAACATAAATAGACTGATGAGCAGTGAGGAAATTGAAACAACCATCAAAACCTTTCCAAAAAACAAAAGTCCAGAACCAGATTGCTTCACTAGTAAATTCTACCAAGGATGGTTCAAATACGCAAATAGATTAATGTAATACACCACACTAACAAATTAATGTGATACACCATATAACAAATCATATGATCTGATAAATACATGCAGAAAAAGCATTTGATAAGGTACAAAATTCATTTATAATTAAAAGACTCAATGCAATAGGAATACTAAGGAGAAAGTAAACAAATGGGACTACTTGAAAATAAAAAGTTTCTTCACAGCAAAAGAAACCAAAAACGAAAAAAAAGCCCACTGTGTGGGATAACATATTTGGCAATATTACATCTGATAAATGGCTAATATAAAAATACATAAGGAACTCATACAACTTAACAGAAGGAAGACAAATAATCCAATTAAAAAATGGGCAAAGGACCTAAATAGAAACTTCTCCAAATACGACATACAGATGGCAAAGAAACATATGAAAAAAATGCTCAAAGTCACTGATGCTAATTAAAACAACAATGAGTATCACCTCACACATGTCAGATGGCTACCATCAACAAATCAACAAATGACAAGAGCTGGCGAATATGTGGAGAAAAGGGGAACCTAGCACACTACTGTGGAAGTGCAGATTCATGCAGCCATTATGGAAAACAGTATGGAGTTTTCTCAAAAAATTAAATTTGGAACTGCCATTTGACCCAGAGATCGCACTTCTAGGAATATATCCTAAGAAACTCAAAACACCAGTCAGAGAGAATGTATGCACCCCTTATGTTCATAGCAGCACAATTTACAATAGCTAATATCTGGAAACAGCCCAATTGCCCACCAGTAGATGAGTGGATAAAAAAGTTGTGGTACATTTATACCATGGAATACTATGCAGCCATGAAAAAGAAGACTCATACTCTTTGAGTCAGCATGGAGGGGCCTATCGAGAATAAATAGGGCTGACAGATACTAAGTACAGAGCGGTTTACATAGTGTTCCTCCTAGATTTCGTTATCAAAATATCATGAATGGAGAATCTCAAACTTTAAAAAGTTAAGTCCCTTGTTGGAGATCATGGAGCTAAAAAGTGACAGATATGGGATATAAAGCCAGGCTTTATAGTTTATTGATTTTTAGAGACAGAGAGAGAAAGGGAGTGGGAGAGAGAAAGAAACATGGATGTGAGAGCTTAACACTGAGGGCTGCCTCCTGCACACCCTCTACTGGGGGTTGGGGATGGAGCCCACAACCTTTTGGTGCATGGGATGACACCCAACCAAATGAGCCATACCAGCCAGGGCTGATTGAAATTCTTCGTTATAAATTCCCTTTTGGAACTTATTTTATCTTTAAGCTCTTTTGGTGCTCTATTTTACTTAATACTTCCATGGTGAAACCATTATTACCTAATTTGAGTGACAAAGTGGTCAAAATATATTGTTATTGCCAAAAAGAAATAGCATGGTGCTATATTATATTAGGTTGTCATATATTATTACATAACACAAGAATTAAAAACAGAAACAGAAGCAGCATGCATATAGACAAGAGAGAGTTCCAAGTAAGCCAGTGAGAAAGAAGAATTAAATCTTCCGTGTTTCTTGTTCCAGCAACTAGAATGTGCCTTTATGATACTTTCTAAAGGATCTATTAGAGCACCTCACTTATTAATAGGAAATGGCATTTATCAAGCCTACTTATTCATTTTATCCTTCTTCTGTACTAAAATGGTCCGTATGTTAGAGATGGGAATGAGGTTGAGGATATCTTATTCTACTAGAGCTGTCATAGCAAAATGTCACAGACTGGGTGGCTTAAACAAAAGAAAGACTGGAAGTCCAAGATCAAGATATCAGAAGGATGAGTTTTCCCAAGACCTCTCCCTCTTGGCTTGCAGATGGCTACCTTCTCATTATGTTCTCCCATGGCCTTTTATCTGTGTTATGCATCATTGGTCTCCCCCCCCCCTCTATCTCTCTCTCTATATCTCTCTCTCATTTCTCTCTCCCTGTAAGAACACCATATTAGATCAAGACCTTACCTCTATGCCTCTATGAAGTCATTAAAACGTAATTACCTCCGTAAAAGCCCTATTTGCAAACACAGCACATTGTGGAATAGAACTCAAACATAAATTGGCAGGGGGAGGGAAGAGGAGGGAGGGAGGCAGAATTCAGTCTATAACTTGAAGAATTTTGTGAAAACCCCTGTTCTCAAACTTTTTAAGACAGATACACTAATTTTCTAAAATGGTAAGTTAAATTACAAAGTTTTTGCAATGGGAATGCACTTTTTAAAAATCCATTCTCTCTCTTTCTATGAGATGGTGGTGTCTCTTACTTATTTTTTATTGTAGTAAAATATATATAACATAAAATTTGTCATTTTGACATTGATGTGTACAATTCGGCAACATTAAGTACATTCACAATCTAGGTGAACCATCACCTATATTCATTTCAAAACTTACATCATTCCAAACTAAAACTCTGTAATCATTAAGCAACATCTCCTCATTCCCTGCTCCCTCAGCTCCTGCTATTTCTAATCTACTTTATGTCTCTATGAATTTGCTTCCCCTGGCATTTCTTGCCTACAGAGCAAATAATGTTTGAACTTGAAGAGACCTGGTAGACCTCTTGGTACAGATGAAGCATGAAAAGCAGCTTGTTCAGATTGACATGCCTGCTTAATGGAAAAACAGTCTCAAAGTCAAGTTTCCTGACTGTCTCTTTCCACTAAAATGTTTGACATCTCTAGAAAGAGTCACAGAATGAGAATCTGAAGCTGCACTGTCCATTACAATAGCCACTAGTCACATGTGGCCATTGAGCACTTAAAATGTGGCTTGTTTCCATTGAGATGTGCAGTGAATGTAACATGCACACCAGATTTTAAAGTCTTAGTGTGAAAAAAGTAACAAAATACTTCATGAATAATATTTATATTGGTTAAATTTGAAGTGATAATGCTTTGTATATATTGTGTTAAGTAATAAACTGTACTATTAAAATCAGTTTCACCTGTTTATTTTTTTAAAGTGATTACTTGAAAACTTAAATATGTGACTTACATTATATTTCTATTAAACTGCTCTGGTCTGAGGATTTATATAAGGACAAGCCTCTCCAATTCTCTCAAGTCCTCATTTCATCTACCCCCAATATACATGGTGGGGTGGGAGCAGAGGCAGGGTGGAAGAGGTCAATGGGGTAAAAGGAACATTTGCAACATTTGCAACAATAAAGATAATTTTTAAAGTAGATTATGTGAATACACAAAACACAGAGTTTATTCTTATATTATTATTTATCTAGTATTGTATTATTTTCCAAAACAAACAGCTGTAAATTAACTTTTTACCCACTATGTACAATCTCTATTCTTTTGAACTATATATCAAGGGGAAAAAGACCAGGAGTATTCAAAGTTGACCAAACTCTCAAAACTAGTTTGTCCATTCACATTATTGATTAAAATTAAAATAAATAAAATACTTGGAAAGTCGTCTGATGTTTAGTACAACATTTCCTTGTGGGAAAAAGAACATGAAGGTTGTTCCTGTTGCAAATAACAGTAAGAAAGCAGAACAAGCTTAAATAAGAAAGCCAAGCTCTGTAAAGCCAAGGAACCAAGGGCAAGAACGCAGCTGGGACTCAGAAACAGACTAGAACTGGGCCTGGAGCAGTCAGTGTAGGGAGCTCAATGAGGCCTTTCTCTCCCATCTCATCTCTGTGATGGGACTGGCTGTTTTGGGTCACAGTACAAATGATGATAATGATAACGATGATGACTAGGACAAGAATCGAACAGTAAATAGTATTTGCCAGGCACTGTGTAAAGAACGTTATATGCATTAACTCATCGGATCTTCATTAAATACTCATTTAATGTATTTTTTTCAGTAAGCAGATAAGGAAATTGAAGTTTGGATAGGTTAAAAAAAATTACCCAAAGCCAAGATTAGAATCAAGTGATTGGATGATTAACAATATGTAATACGGATCTTATTGTAAAGGATGGTTACCAACTAGAGTGCCCAAATTGCATCTACTAAAACAACAGCATTTACTTCATAGGGTTGCTCTGAGGATTAAGTAAAATATTTTGTGTAGATCTTTGTAGAGTTCCTGATATATAGCATGTGTTCTGTGGGTGTCAGCTGGTGTTGTTATTATCTTCTTTGTTCAAAAAAGCAACTATACTGAAACTAGTACATTCGTCTTGATTTCAACTTATCAGTGGAGGGATTCAGATTTTAGGACACAAGTTAAGGACCCAATTCAGACCCAATTCAGCTATTTCCAGAAGGGGTGGCTCCCTGGGGATCCATCGCTATGAATTAGGGACAGGAAGGAAAAGTGTTGGGGGCAGGCTGCCATTCGAAGTAATATATGCCATTACTCTTTCAACGAAATGAGTAAACATTACTCTGGCACCAAATATCACCATCACATTTTATTTCACACTAAGCCACTTGAGCAAGTTAGAATTAGCGCTGAAAGCAGACTTGTATATTCTGAGTTCCCAAATGAGTCTTTTCTTTTATGGGCTCTGTTAATTAGCAATTTTTAAACAACGTAAAAAATAAACTTACAATGGATTTTTAAAAATGGGGTTTGCCGAAACCGGTTTGGCTCAGTGGATAGAGTGTCAGCCTGTGGACTGAAACGTCCCGGGTTCCATTCTGGTCAAGGGCATGTATCTTGGTTGCGGGCACATCCCCAGAAGGAGGTGTGCAAGAGGCAGCTGATTGATGATTCTCTCTCATTGATGTTTCTCTCTATCCCTCTCACTTCCTCTCTGTAAAATAAATAAATAAAATATATTATTTTAAATGGGGTTTATTGTTCTCACATAAACAGGAGTTGGGAGACAGGATAAGCATTTCTGAGACTCGAGTAGACTTTCTCGAGGTTGCAAGATGATTGCCCCCAGGCAGCAACTGTTAGAGGTCTGCTATGAGGGCATGTGAATAATCAACTTCAAATGGGACATTAACAATGTAGTGGCTATCATAAATATACTCTTTACAGAGCTCTATCTAAGCCATTTCTGAAATGTTACACTATAGATACTAGGAGAATACATAGTAAGGAAAATCACAAGTTACAATAGAATGTAACATAATTTAAGTCTATCATTTTAACAACAGAGAAGGGTGCATCAAGTTTCTCGTGCTCGGAAATCTATTGTGGCCTTTTCCCTGAGTCAGAGCCAGAAGTGAAGGCAGTCGCTAATTTCTTGAGAAGAAATATCAACCATATTAAAGCTTACATCACAATGCATTCATACTCCCAGATGATAGTGTTTCCATATTCCTACAACAGAAGCAGAAGCAAAGACCATGAGGAACTGGTAAGAGCTGTTGAATTATTTTTATTATTAGCCTTTCAGAAATAAATTAATATTTAGTTTCAAGAATTAAAAACTTATCTAGGGTTTTCCACCTACATGTGAAGCCATATGAGCAAGGACCAGGACAGGAGTCTCTGGAATTATGCATCTGCTTTGTGGTCACTAGCTTTCTACAATAGCCACGACAGATCAAGTCTCAGCACAACACTCACCAATTTGATATTAGCATTAGGAATTGGTTGCATACTGACATCTCTAACTCCAAAGAGTCCTATTAAAAGCATCTCCAATTTCAGTGTTGAGGCAAGAGCAGCCCCTACCCCTTTTTTGTAATGTAGTGGACAATACAGTAAAAGTAAAGGGAATGATAACATGCTATGATACCAAGGAACAGACACAATTTCAGCCAAACATTGAAAGATGGAATTTCTATATACGGACAGGGAAGAGAAGACATTTCAAGCTGAGCAGATGGTGTTTCCCACAAGAAGTACGTTCAGGGGATTGTGAGAGTGCCAAAGTAAAGGTGATACCATCAGAAAGTAGATGAGGTCAGCTTGTGAAGATAAGGTCAGCTTATTTGAATGTCAGAATAAATTTACATTTCATTCTGTAGTCAACAGGGTTCCATTCAAATCTTTATTTTGAATAAAGGAATGGCACAGCATCGTATCCACTGATATTCCTCTGGGTTATTCAAGAGAGTGACGGTGAACAGCATCCAACTTTAGAAAAGATCTGGGTATCTGGGTACACTAGAAACAAATATAGTGTAACATGGGATTTATTATCTTGCTTCATAACCAAAAAAATATCTTTTTTATTGGATGAGTCTTAGGGAGTTACTAGACATTTTACTCAAGACTAAAATAGAGTTTCTAAAAAGGATGAGAAGGGAATCAGGACACTTAGGTATAATATTGTTTAGAGAACTTGGATTTAAAGTTTGGTGATAATTTTATCTAGGAATGGGGTAACCTCAAGTTGTTTGCCTTTGAAATATAGTTATACTTCATTTTACAAAATTAATAAATTCCTATAAAAGGCTGATGAGAATTATTTTTTCTTCAAATTTAATAAAATTTTCAAGGTATTAGAAGAGTTTATGGTTAGAGTCACTCAATTGAGATTTCCATAAAACAAAACAGATTTTTTTAAGTTAATTTATTCTTCTTGATTTACCTTTGGGTAAATGCAGATTTTTCATACATGCAGCTTTTTCCAAATTTATTGATATATAACTGACATATAAAATTATGTAAGTTTAAGGTGTAAAATGTGATGATTTGACACACATATATGTTGTTAAATGATTACCACAATAGAGTTAATGCATCTATCATCTCAGATAACTACTTTTTTTCTTTTGTAGTGATAACATGTAAGATCTACTCTTTAAGCATCTTTCAAGTATATTGACAATGTTGCTTATACACAATATTGCTAACTATAGTCACCACGCTGTATTTTAGATCCCCAGGACTATTTCATCTTGTAATTGGAAGTTTGTATCCTTTGACCAACATTTCTCCATTCTTCCCACCCTCAGCTCCTGACCACCACCATCCTACTCTATATGTATTCATGTATATAATCTGAGTCAATTAATATATGATTGAATTTTTTAGAAATTTCCATCTATCCTGTTTTAAAGTTTTACATTAACTGAAATTTCATATTCTATTGATTTCAGTCTCTACTGGCCAGAGAAGCAGCCCAGGCTATTGAGAATATTAGTCAAGATATCAGATATACATATGGCAGTGGCTCAGAAAGTTTATGTAAGTATTTCTTAAGATCTTAGAAAACTGTGAGATATTTTTTAACAATCTGTGATTGGTTTTTCTGTATAGATTTAATTTTTCTAAATGGAATCTTTAAGCAAGGTCACTTGTAAAACAATTGGATAATAACAATTACAAATGGAAGCATAATAGCTCTGACAGCACTGAACAAGCTATATTAACAAGTGAATAGTTAAAAAGAAGACAAAATGCTATTTAGGAAATATGCTCATTGCTATAGAGTAGGGGTTATAGAAATGGCATCACACTAGTTGAGTGAAGCAGAAAAGGTCATAAAAGGTGAAAAGGAAATGGGAGCTGTCCAAGGCCACCCTGTAAGGCCATGTAGGTTGAACCCTATATACATCTAGTATACAACCATTACATTAGTTGCCTTTCAGTGACAGCCTGTGCTCTAGAGTATAGCACACTATAGTTGAATGTCTGGTTTCTATCACAGTGATGAGAATATGTATGTGGCATACTCTTAACAAATATTTGTTGAACGATTCCTTTGTAAGTACAGTGGAATAACAGACAATGATTTTACTTTTTTGAACCTGGGGCGGGGGAGATGAGAGAAGAGGAACAGAAAATAAACATGTAACCAACTATCAGCAAATCATGACCCACAGGTCATATCAGCCGGCAAGGGGGGTACAGTTGTAGGTGACCAGGCTGGCAAGCAGAGGCAGTTAGAGGTGATCAGGCTGGCAGGGGGGGCAGTTAGGAGCAATCAGGCAGGCAGAGGTGGTTAGATGTGATCAGGCAGGCAGACAGAAGGGTTAGGAGTGATCAGGCAGGCAGACAGGCGAGCAGTTAGGAGCCAGTGGTCTTGGATTGTGAGAGGCAGTAAGACATCCCCCAAAGGGTCCAGATTGAGGAGGGTGCAGGCCAGGCTGAGGGACCCCCACCCCTCCCGTGCACAACTTTTGTGCACCGGGCCTCTAGTGTAGAATAATTGTAAAAAGTACATACCCTTAACCCTCCGGTTCCCTTTCCCATCGGATCTGAACACCGATCTTGGTGGTCGTAGAGGAGGAAGAGTAACAGTGAGGCTGGCCTCATGGTGCTTGTAACCTGTGGGCCAGTTTCAGGCAAGGTTGAAAGAAAAAAAAGGAAGAAAAAAAAAAGTACATACCCTTATTCCAGCAATCTACTTCTAGGAAATAATATTCTAAAGAAGTAAATAAGCAGTTATGTATAAGCAAGGTTGTTCAATGATATTTATATTACCTGGAAATTAGAAAAATAAAAAGGTCTCAAATAGATATTTAAATTATTTACACCCAGCTCTATAGTGCAATGCTATGAGTTAAACATTATTTGAACTCATTGATACACAAAACTGGTCACAACATGTATCATGTTTAGAAATGTTAAAAAACAGAATGTATAGAATGATCTTAGTATGTAGGAAAAATATAACTTAGAAATTTTTAAAAATTAAGTTAATTTTTGTTGTTGTTGTGGTTAAAGCCTTCACCACAAAAGGAACTAAAACATTAATGGTGATTATCACTTCTTGGTAAAGTTATGGATAATTCTGATTTTCTTCCTTAACTTGTTTTCCACCAATCTCCATTGTTTTACCAGCAATGTATATTACTTACTAATCAGAAAAATGCTAAGCAGTTTTCATTTTTAGGGGGAAAGAACACATTTTGTTAGTTAATTTGAAACATTTGTATTTTGAAAAGTAATTTCTTTTTCTTCTTACAGATCTAGCTCCTGGAGGTCCGGATGATTGGATCTATGACTTGGGCATTAAATATGCCTTTACAATTGAACTTCGAGATACAGGCGAATATGGATTCTTGCTGCCAAAGCATCTCATCAAACCTACTTGCAGGGAAGCTCTTGCTGCTCTCTCTAAAATAGCTTGGCATGCCATCAGAAATGTTTAATGCTCTTGATTTTTTCACTCTGTTCTCACATTTTAATTTACTGATTCCAAGACCAAATTATTGTACCAGTTTCTTTTTTAAGTTTTAGTTTTGGTAAAAGGTTTTCTTATTCCTTTGGTTTTGTCAGAGAACAAAATAAATGTAATAAATAAATACACAATTTTCCCTTTTTTGTTTAACTTGTAAGAAGGTAGGTATTGATTTTTTTTCTTTGATTTGTGATGTTTGACTAACTGTAACTGGACAACCAATGGGTCCTGGCTGTCTGTCAGTACTTGAGCTAATTGAGAAGAGACAGGATTGAATCATATATGAGTGTTTATTCCAATAAAGCTGGCAGCATGGGAGTGGGAGAGCAGCAGGTCATCCACAAAAATCTGCTCTGCTCCTCTCCACAAGCCAGCTGCTTATATTGGGTAGAGGGACAAAGATTATGTGGGAAAGTAAGCAAGGTATAATGGTTACAGGCCATGTGGGTTTGGGGGTCGCCCCAGGACTAGGACTAAATTGTTTAATCTTTCCATAATAGGTAGTTCTGGAAAAAGGAATATGCACGGCATTCTGATGTAGGTTCTCATATCCCGGGGCCTACATCTTTCAGCCAGGTTAAAATGTGCTTTCTCTAATCAGAATAGAAAAATCATGGTAACAGACCATGATTAATATTTCTTATAATTATAGCTAGTCCCCAATAGTCTATTCTGCTCCTAACATAACCACCTCAAGCAATTTTAATAACTAGTTTAATGCAACTCATTAAACAAGGGGGGAAGAGGGTTGCCAGAAATACATTAAATATTTTTGCTTTAATTTTCAACAAATTCTGCTTGTGCCTTTAAACACACAGCCGTGTGTCTATTCGCTCCACAGGAATAGACCATGGCCCAGAAAGTGGTGTCAATAACAGAATAAATATTTCCTGTGGCTCCAGCTCATCGTTCATTGAACTTTGTAGAGCCAGTACATGTACTTACTTTCGACAATAAATGTTAACAACTTATTGCAAGAACTAAGAATTAATGTAATAAAAGAACAAAATCTCTCTCTTAAAAGAGAGAGAGAGAGAGAGAGAGAAAGAAAGAGAGAGAGAGAGAGAGAGAGAGAGAGAGAGAGAGAGAGAGAGAGAGAGAGAGAGAGAGAGAGAGAGAGAGAGAGAGAGACAGGAATCATTGATCAGCTGCCTCCTACACGCACACTGGGAATCCAGCCCTGACCATAAATCGACCCTGACTTCCGGGTTCACAGTTTGACGCTCAGTCACTGGCCGTCTGGGCTTAAAATTATCTTTAATTGGGAAATTGAGAAGACCCTCTCCAGGGGCCTCCCACAAAGACCGGCCAATTCCCACCGCCGCCTCCAGGGCTGCGGAGGCGTGTCCGCGGAGGGGCGGGGCCTGCGTGCTGACGTCTAATTTGGCAGCCGGAAGCTGCCCAGGCCCACAGAGGAACAGGGCAACCCTCGACTTCCGGCGGCATTTTGAGGCGATCCTTCTGGTTCCCTGGAAGTGTTTTCGTTGGCTTTTCTTACTTTCCAGCGTGTCTTTGGTGTTTTTCTCTCCACGGCCCAGTCTCGCTTGATACTGGCGAAGCGGCCGGCGAGTTCCGCTTCTCAGCCGCCCCCGGGGCCCCCCGCCTGCCGAGGGCCGGTTCCCGGGAGCCGCGCGCGCCTCTCCTCCGTGTTGTCGTCCTCCCGGGGCCGGGCGCGGGGACAGGGAGTCGCATCCCCGGCTCCTCTGAGCGGTGGCGGCGGCGGCGGCGGCGGCGACGCCTCCCGGCTGTGCTTGCGGAGGGAGCTCGGGGCGGAGGTAAGCCTGAATGGTGCGCTGTGGTGCGGGTGCGGGGGAGGCGCGGGGCGGCCCGGGGCGGGAAGGCCCGGGGCAGGCTCCTTATCCACTGGAGACTCGCCGCGGTTCTGAGCTTCTCCTCTTAGTGCTGCAAAGGCTCCTGCGCTCAGGCCTCCTCGCCCCCATTCTGATTCCGGTGAGTTTGTCTGCGGGGGCAGGTGGGCTCAGATGAAAAGGGCTGCACCTGAGGTGGGCTTGGGAACCCTTGCGTGGTATTCGCTTTTGAATGCAGTGAAAGGCTGCGGGAATATAGTTTTAGATTTAGAAGCTCCCTTTTTTTTTTTTCTTTTTTTTTTTTTTAACGCATTCCAGACTTACTGGGGGCAAGTATCTTACTTGTGGTTGTATTTAGTCTTATTTCCTGGCACTGATACTGACTTAGGGCCTCGGAGTTGAGGAGTGCTACTATCATCTTCTCTTTCCCTAGTTGGTAGTTTGGCAACTATACGGAGAAACCGGGGAGAATGAGAGGAGGGGCCTGATGTTTGGCTTTATCTGATGTGTGACAAATGATTTATGTGGCTGCAGAATTATTCGGAGTTGCTATTACTTACTAGTAAATGGAATTGGTAGGATCTTGTCTGTGGAGTCGATTGTCAAGCTACTATTTTGCGAGGTTTTCGGATAATTTGAACTGCTTTGGAAATTAGGAACATATTTAATCTCTTCAGGTTTTCCGTTTTGTGAAAAAATTATTTACAAAGTTTAGAAAAGATCTTCACACCTCAAATTTTCAAAGTTCATGATACTTGGCAGTAAATCTGAGTATGTTTATACAGTACAATCCAGGCATAATTAGTCTCGTTCTGTAATATTTGAAGTTACTGTCTTTAGTACCTAAGCGAAAGTGTTTTTGGAGAGTTTTGTGAACAAAATCTGTAGATTTTCAAATAATTTTGTTTCTTAATGAAATATTTAGATGGTAACATGACAATTTCAACAATATACTGAATGTTGATGCAGGTACTTAACAAATTGTTCTGTAAAAATAGTTCCAAGGTAAAACTAAGACTGAACCTGGTAGGATCCAGTTTTATCAAATACATGACTTTTACTGGCTTCCTAATTATTGGTGATTTGAAATGAACATTGATTGCATATTTTAAGATATGCAGATTCATCCTTCGGGCAGATGTTAATTTAACTCGTACAAATTATCAGTGTTAATTTGTATTATAAAATGCATTCTATTTACGTATTTAAAGAAATGGTGTTCAATGCTCTTTGGTTTCCCCATCTCCTCAAACCTCTCTTTGTCATGTAGTTAGTACTGTTTCAGCAGATATTTTATAGCAATTGAAATGCTAACTTGTGTTGATATATAGTGTCGTCGTTGTTTTCTTCTTCTTCTTCTTCTTCTTCTTCTTCTTCTTCTTCTTCTTTCTTCTTCTTCTTCTTCTTCTTCTTCTTTCTTCTGTTTGTCTTTTGCAGTTCTGTTTACTTCTCTTTGGTTACCAGCATGGGATTTTTCTGTGCATAGTATTTTTAACAAATTATTTTTTCTGCACAGTGCAGCATGTTCATACTTGTCAGGTTAGCTTGGTCACTTCAGTTCACAATTCAGTTTGGAATTGTTTTAGTCTGTTTACATATAAGTGATGTGCAAGATTGTTTTAGAAAGTTCTTTTTAAAAAATTCTCCCAGACTATGCATCAAATAAACCTAAATTTTTCTTTCAAAATATAAAATGTAAATGTGAAGAGACCTAATATTTAACATAACCCTTTTTATTTTAGAACTGCAGTGGGTAGGGATTTATTCTACTACCAGTTAATACATTTATGTAGTCTTTAATTATTTGACGATTTACTAATATTATGCTGCTGCTCATCAGATTATGCTTTCATTTTTGCTACTGGAAGATGAGACCTCAAAAAGTTGTGGTCAAGGATTGGAGAGAGCATACTAGAGCTGATACATGGTTTAGACCTCAGAAATAATTGTTTACAAAGAGGCTGCTATATGTTTTTTTCTTTCTCAGTCAAATTTATAGCATGAATTTCAGACATTATGATGTTTGTTTTTTGAGGGGGCGGACAGTTCCATTTATTGAGACTGTGTTTTATTGTGTCTTAATGATTCAAACTTTATCCCCTATTTTTCTTTTTCAATTAAAAAAATATAATAACCTCTGGTCTTTCATTAACTCTGAAAATGAAGAGGAAAAATAAGAAGATACTGAAACAGTAGACTCACCAGTGTCACTTTGGTTTTAATAATGCTGCTGTTTGGGAAAGACATAGTGTAAAATGTGGTGGCAAAGAAAACCAAAGAAAATCTTGAAAACAAAACTAGAAAGAAAACCTTCAAAGACTCTGAGCTAGGGAAGACTTCAATATTTGCATTTTTTAAAAATTGTTTCTAATTTTTCTCATTTACTCTGAAACATTTACTTGTTATTGAAGCCTCTGTAGATAGTAATTGAAAAGTCCCTCTTCCCCAGTCAAATTTGCATTTTATTCTGTTGCAATATTTACCTTCCTTTGTAAGCCCAAATTTTTAGATTGAAATTTCTAATTAAGTCACATTAGTTGGTAACACTTTAAATTTATTAATTACTATATATGATTAAATGCTTTTCTATTGTACTTTAGATTATGTGTACATATTTAGATAAGTAGGACATAAAATATTTTTTGTATTCTTTGCAAGCATAAAGCATTTTCTATGCAAAATCATGAATGCTTCAGTATATTTAGATAACTTGATTACCGATGAAAGTTCTTACCGATGAAAGTTCTTACCGTAGATAGATGATCAGAAGAATTCCTCTTTCATTTAGAAAACTCTAGTTCCTACTTTTTCCCTTTTGCTTCAGATTTATTATTATTATTATTATTATTATTATTATTATTATTATTATTATTATTTTAGTTAGGGTCTTCCTGTAACCTAGACCTGGTACTCAAACTCATTGGGGCAAGGTCTGACACTCTTGAACTCTCTTGAGAAAAGAGAGTCCTTTACTTCATTGCTGTTCTTCCTTAAGTTGGTAGACTCAACAGTAGCTAGAAGTAAACTTCCTGGGATGAGCATTATTTAGGTGAACCTTGAGAAGTTCTTATGTCACCTGTAAAAGCAACTTTGTCTCTTTGTGAAGGAACTTTTTTAGTGGCAAGAATACAAGGAGAGGTGCTATTAGTTCTCACTTGATAGTCTTTGACATAGCAGTCCAAACGCGTTGAAATCTTTTAAGCTTATATTAGGGATCTGGAATTGAAGAGAAGCTGTGAGACTATACAGGGAAGGAAAACAGTGCTGATCCAACCCACAGGTTACAGAGCAAGAAGAGAAACCAGAGTTAATACCTGGAGCCCTCAGCAAAACAAGAAAGAAGCTGACAGATGACCAGTGTCACAACTATAATAATAAACAGCTGTTGCCCCAACTGTGGAAAACACTACCATTGACTCTTGGAGGAGGGTGTATTGGGAATGAGGGCATGTTGGGAATGGCATTTTGAGGACAGAATTAACCATTTCAATTGATAGTAGAGAGAAAAAATTGTAAGATTGGGGTTGGTTTTCTTAGAGACAATGTGGTGGGATGGGTGCCCCTTTTCCACATTCCACATAACAAATAATAGCTAATATGGAACTTTTAAAACTCATTTGATTTTATTAACAAATGTTTTTAAAATTAGTGAGCATTACAATGTAACCTATATGTTAATATTTATAGTAACAAATGGAACTTTAAAATGTTTTTGTTCTAACTTTTCCTATATGTTTTGTTACATATTTAGTTTTCAAATTCTGCTCATTTTTAAATTACTATATAGAGGTTTTCTCAATTAAACAAAGTTCTACATTTTCTACCTCTTCATCATCTCCACTCATTGGCTTTAGTTTTTTTTGTTGTTGTTTAGTAAAACAAATGGGCATTTGAAATTTTACCAACTTTTCCTTTGTAAATTTACATGTGGACTAAGAATAAATAAGCTCAAGAAAAGTTAAATCAAAGATTGTCTTATAATACTGACTACATTATGAAGGGTTCATTGTATCGTTTTTTACTTGGGAAACAAAGAGGAAAGGAGAGGGAGAGAGAGAGAGAGAGAAATATCAATGATGAGACCAAATATCATTGGTCAGCTGCCTCTTGCACGCCCCCCACTGGTGATCAAGACTGAAACCTGGGCATGTGCCCTGACCTGTGTCTTAGAAGATAACTTCTGTATACCTATATTTACTTGTGACCTCCTATTCCTTTATTTTTGTCCTGAGAAAAATCCCTTATACTTTTACAGTGTTAATCTACAGTTTTATCTACTTGCAAGTTATGTGCTGTGTGCTCAGTTATTTTAAATTGAAGAATTTTACTGTTTAGTCTCTCTCTCTCTCTCTCTCTCTCTCCCTCTCTCTCTCTCTCTCTCTCTCTCTCTCTCTCTCTCTCTCTCTCTCTCTCGTTTTTTGTTAAAGTAGTACAAAATGTCAAAAATTAGAAGGAAAGTCACAGTGGAAAACACGAAGACCATATCTGAAAGCACATCCCGAAGACCCAGTGTCTTTGAGAGGCTTGGACCCAGCACTGGCAGTACGGCAGAGGTGAGTGTCAGTTGTACAGTCTCAGGGGTTCTCTTGCAATCCTTTTTTTTTTTGAAATACCAAATTGTATCATAAAGGTGAACTGGTTGTAAATATGTTGGTTCAGTACATTTTTAAAAATATTTCATTAAAAGACTTGAAAAGGGTGATAGGGTTTGTGGGTGGTTGTTTTTTTCTCTGATGTTTTATTATTTGGGGAGTAATGTCTATCTCAGGTTAGCTGCAATTTTGATAGCATTTGTTTTAATTTTCCACTAGCATCTTTTGTCCAGAAATAAATATGAAATTTACATAGTAATATCTGTCTCTTAGACACAGTGCCGTAACTGGCTGAAGACTGGCAACTGCCTCTATGGAAACACATGTAGATTCGTACATGGCCTTTCACCCCGTGGTAAAGGTTATAGCAGCAATTACAGAAGGTAAATTGAGAACTTTGAATTGTTCATATACAATTAGAAAATGGCTTTTATAGTTTACTATAAAAATCTGAAATAAAACTATATATTTGGTGAGATTTTTTTTTATCTTGGTAGTAGTCTTGTTGATAATGTAATAAAAAATAAAATCTTTTTAGTTTTAAATTCAAGGTTAATAAAATGTTTGCTTTAAAGTTAACTTTTTTGTTCAATATTTACTTGTTTTGACAATAGATCTTTTTTATGGTTTATGTGTGGCTTACTTACACCTTCCAATTATGTATTAAACTGCTGCTAAGACAGAATTTTATTGCAGTTTAAATAAGACATAATTTTAGCTTTTTAAGATATTCTAAATTTGAATCTTAATGACAAAAGACAATCTAATGCAAACTCTGAAGGTGAAATGCATTTGCCAAATCCTTATTGCAGTGTATTAATGTAAATGAAAATATATACCATATTTTCCGGCGTATAAGACGACCCCCTAATTTTTACAGTTAAAACATAGGTTTAGGCCTATATTCGCTGTATAAGACTACCCCCTACTTAAAAGAAAAGACTTGCCGAAGCCGGTTTGGCTCAGTGGTAGAGCGTCGGTCTGCGGACTGAAAGGTCCCAGGTTCAATTCCGGTCAGGGGCATGTACATTGGTTGCGGGCACATCCCTGGTAGGGGGTGTGCACGAGGCAGCTGGTTGATGTTTCTCTCTCATCAACGTTTCTAGCTCTCTATCTCTCTCCCTTCCTCTCTGTAAAAAATCAATAAAATATATATTTTAAAAGAAAAGACTTACTTTGCCGTCAAGATCTGCAGGTAATTTTTGTGCAGTTTTGGTCTTTTGCCCCCGATTTTCGGTTGACTTTTTTTGTTTCAAAAGTCGTCTTACACGCCGAAAAATACGGGTATATGAGGAGAAATGGAGCTATTTTGGACATCATATGCCTTTAATAAAGGCAGAACTAAATTAATCTTCCCTAATAACGACCTTTTATTTTTCTTTTGGTTCACTTATGATGATTTTATTATGGTTGGTGGAGAAAGATGTAGCTTATGTAAAGATTGCCACAAAAAGTTTAAACTTGATTGGTAAAGAAATAATTTATCTAGTTTTAAAATTGGATATACTGATTGTTTTGGCTATAGGAATAGTAAAAAATTGAACATTAGGATTTGGAGATTTTGTGTGTGTGTATAGGTTTTAAAGTTTAATTGAATTTAATATATTTTATTGATTTCAGAGAGGAAGAGAGAGAAAAATATCAGTGATAATCATTGATTGGCTGCCTCCTGCACGGCCCCGACTGGGGATCGAGCCCACAGTCCGGGCATGTGCCCTTGACCGAAATCAAACTCTACAGGCTGACACTCTATCCACTGAGCCAAACCAGCTAGGGCTCATGTTTAATTGAATTTAAAATTCAAACTTTCAAATGTTGCATATTTTTGTTTCCTTGTGATGCTGAATATTGTCTTATTTGTGTTTAAATTGTCATTTGTCTTTTCTCTTAATGAAGGGGGATTAGTCTTAATAATTTTAATTATCTGTATAAACACATACTTGGTAAACAATTTCAGTAATATTAATGTTTTGTTTGTATTAATACACTTTTAATAATGCTTTAATTCATCTTTGAAATTTATTATTAACTGAGTCAAAATTTTTATACAGGAGACAGTTTTGGGGGAAATGGCAAAGAAATTTGTTTAAAATAGAAAAAAGTACTATCATACTAGATTTAGCATAAAGAATTTTTGTTATAATTTTGCTCTTTCATGTATTTTTTTATATCTCATAACTTCTCTTATATTTGTGTAATTTACCTTTTTTTTGTAGGGAAGAAAGATAGTCAAAATGCAATTCAAAGAAGGAAAGAAAAGCAATGTATTTCAGATATGCTTATTTAGTCAAAAAATATTTAAGCCATTTATTGTTAGATGCTTTTTAGGATAGAAACAGGTTTAAATAAATTATATACAGAAAACTAAGACAAAAATTTACATGTATATCATAATTATAATTTAAAAGGTTTATGCACTGGTTTATAATAAGAATTCCATTTTTTCATGTTTTTTTATTGATCTTAGAGAAGAAGGGAGAGGGAGAGATAGAAACATCAATGATGAGAGATAACCATTGATTGGCTGCCTCCTGCATGCCCTCTACTGGGGGTCGAGCCTGCAACCTGCGCATGTGCCCTTGACTGGAGTAGAACCTGGGACCCTTCAGTCTGCAGGCCAATGCTCTTTCCACTGAGCCAAACTGGTTAGATCTAAGGAGTTGTATTTTTAAGTTCAGCTTTAGCTGTTAAAACATTTAATATAGATCTATAAAATAAACATGTAAATGTTAATTCGATCCTTTAAAGTGAATTAACAAGTTGCTAATTCACTATGTGATCTATAGTAATGATTGATACATTAAAGGAATTGATATGGTTATCAACTGTTACTTGAAATAGATGTGAATATTTATGTGATTTGTAGTTATCATTTGAAAATATTATGTATAATATTTTTTATGGCTAAAGAGGGACATATTCTTTAACTTATATTGCCTTTTTTAAGATGTTCTGGTAATCTTTAAAGGCCGTATGTTTTCTATCTCTGTTTTGTTGTTCTTATTTAATAGTGGTGTGAAATAATTGAACAGCCATTTATCAAATTTCCAATCCTATATAATAAAAGAGTAATATGCAAATTAACCATCACTCTGCTACACCCACAAGCCAATCAGGAGCGAGTATGCAAATTAACCCAACCAAAATGGCTGTGGCCACAGAGAGCAGGAGGGAGGCTTGGGTTTCCCTGGCAATGGAGGAAGCCAAGCTTTCTGCACACCCTGGCCGGCCCAAGACTCCGCTCCAGGCTACAAAGTTTCAGTTGTGGAAGATAAATAAATCCTGCTTGGACAGCTGGGGGGGCATGGCCAGCCTGCAAACCATCACAGGCCCCCCTCGCCCAGGCTGCCTGGGACAATCTTCAGGGAAAACCAGCTGGCTCCACCCATGCACCCAGCCTCTATTTTATCTAATCCTATCTTAAAAAAAAAAAAAAGGCGTAATATGCAGATTGACCATCACTCCAACACACAAGATAGTTACCCCCATGTGGTCAAAGATCCTTCCCCCATGTAGATACAAGATAGCCACCACACGATAGCCAGCGGGGGAGGGCAGTTGGAAGGGACCAGGCCTGCAAGGGAGGGCAGTATGGGCGATCAGGCCAGCAGGGAAGGGCAGTTGGGAGGGACCAGGCCTGAAAAGGAGGGCAGTTGAGGGCAATCAAGCCTGCAGAGGAGGGAAGTTGGGAGAAAATAGGCTGGCAGGGGAGCAATTAGACATCAATCAGGCTGGCAGGAGAATGGTTAGAGAGTGATCAGGCTGGCAGGCAGAAGTGGTTAGGGGCAATCAGGAAGGCAGGTAGGTGAGCAGTTGAGAGCCAGCAGTCCTTGATTGTGAGAGGGATATCCGACTGCCTGTTTAGGCCCGATCCTGGTGGGGTCGGCCTAAACAGGCAGTCAGACATCCCTTGAGGGGTCCCAGATTGGAGAGGGTGCAGGCTGAACCAAGGGACACCTCTCCCCCTCTCCCCCGCTTGCATGAATTTCGTGCACCGGGCCTCTAAATTATAAAACATTACCATTGTTGAATATAAATATGTGTATTTTTTTTTAATCTAGAGCAGAATATAAAATCTTGGTTCGAAATATTGCTATGAATCCTTTATTTTTATTATAAAATCATTTTAAATTTAAGAAAAGTTATAAGAATTATACAAAACTTCGTTATTTAACTTTGATTCTTAAGAGGCATAAAGTATTTTCTCAGTTGTTGATATTGTATCCAACTAAATACATGTGTAGATTATACTGTTGCTTTTAGATTAATTTCGCAATGTCATGGATTAAAACTATCTTCCTACTTTTGTTTTCAAATAAAACTAATACAGGGTGGGGCAAAAGTAGATTTATGGTTATGAGTATTCAAACCACAGAGTTTACTCTTGTTTTATTATTTACTAGTTATTGTATTTTCCATATGAACAACACCTTGTATTTTTATATGATTAAATTGTTAATTACTAATTGTTTTTTTTCTCAGCTCAGACATAGTTTCTTATTCATGTTACCAGTACCTGCCATCCCATGGAATCTTAAGCTATACATTTTGATTGGGAGAGAATTTGTTAAGTGATGCTCATATTTTTTATGTTAATATTAAACTGAAACAAATTATTTTTTTTCCTGAAATTTAGGAGCCATGGGCAGTTGGAAAAATTATATTGACATTTGTGAGTTTATTTCTGCAAATATATTCTCATAAAATGATGTATAAATATAGATTTTTGCTGTTTCTTGTTTTGTTTTTAAAGGTCACCAGAAAGACCTACAGGGGATCTTAGAGAAAGAATGAAGAACAAGCGCCAAGATATGGACACTGAGTCCCAGAAACGAAATATAGAGGACTCATCCTCACCTGTTAGGGTAGGAATAAATTTCCCAAAGTAAAGTTAAATTTCAGTAGTGACCTGTTATTTATGCCCTATTTTAAATATTATCTTGTGTGGTAAATATATGGTAAGTGTATACTATTGCATTATAATGTTCTGTATAGATAATGTAATTTAGAAGAAAAAAGTAGTCCTCTGGCAAAACTCATAATTCTGATTGTTTCACTTCTTGGTGGCAGTTAAGGTAAAGAAATTCATTGGTAGAGCTTAAGCTGAGCTTCTTAAGGTTTCTTTACCTTGGTGAAGGAGTCATGAATATCTAAACATATTCTTGAGTTTTCAGAGTTTAAACCAACCATCATATTCTGCCTGCTTCCAAGAATGAAGCAGCTTAAAATAGAACACTTAAATTAAAACAATGAAAGTAAGGCATATTGGTAACAGAAACTGAACTAGAAAACTTAGGTAAAGGACATGTGACCACAAAATTTGGTGATGAATTCCTGGCATTTAAGCTAAAGAGAAGCATAATTTATAATGGAGTTTATTGGGTAGAAGGACACATGAATTTGTTGGGAATGGAAGTCTTTTCCAGAGTCCATCCGTGTCTCCCCCCCCCCCCCCCCCCCGAAATGTAACATTTATTGAGATTGAATTCAAATACTGTATAATTTGCCCATTTTAAGTATAGACTTTTGCGATTTTTTTGAATATTCACAGTCATGCAACCATCACCACCGTTAATTTTAGAACATTTTCATTACTTCCAAAAGAAACAAGTTTTTGACTAGACATATTTTTCATTTCTCTTAGGTTTATATCTAGAAGTAGAATTGCATGTCATGGCTTAAACCTTTACCTTTGGAGTTATTGCTAGATCATTTTCAAAGCAGCTGCACTATTTTTCATTCTTGCCAACAGTGTACAATGTTTCCAATTCTCTACATCCTGCCAACAGTTGTTATTATCTAACTTTTTGATTATAGCTATCTTAAGTGGGTGTGAAGTGGTAATCTCATTGTAGTTTTGATTTCCTGGTGGCTAAATAATGTTGATCACCTTTTCATAGGCTTATTGGCCATTTGTATATCTTGTTCGGAGAAATGTCTATTTAGATCTTTTACCCATTTTTTAAAATTGAACTATTATTGATTTATAACTTCTCTATTTTGGATATAAGTTTTCTATATATATGATTTGCAAAAATTTCCTTTATACTGTGGGTTGTCTTCATGTTCTTGATGGTATCCTTTACAGCACAAATGTTTTTAATTTAGTGAAATACAATTTAATTTTTTTCCATCTTTAATTTCTTTATGGATTAAGGCATTACTTATATGTCTTAATCCGCCATTATTCCCCCAACGCCCTCCCACACACACACTCATGCCCTCATCCCCCTGTTGCCTGTATCCATTGGTTGGGCTTATATGCATGCATACAAGTTCTTTGGTTGATCTCTCCCCTTTCCCCCCACCCTCTCCTACCTTCCCTCTGAGGTTTGACAGTCTGATTGCTGCTTCTCTGTCTGGATCTGTTTTTGTTCATCAGTTTATGTTGTTCAGTATATTCCATAAAAGAGTGAGATCATGTGAGGGATAGAAAGTTAGAAACATCAGTGAGAGAGAATCATCGATCAGCTGTCTCTTGCACACCCTCTACTAGGGATGTGCCTGCAACCAAGGTACATACCCTTGACTGGAATGGAACCTGGGACCTTTCAGTCTGCAGGCCAACTCTCTATCCACTAAGCCAATCCGGTTTCGGCTCTTTTTTTTATTCCAAATAAATTTTTGGAGATTTCTTTCTAGGTCTGTGAAATATGCCATTGGTATTTTAATGGGGGAGTGCATTGAATCTGTAGATTGCTTTGGGTAGTATAGACATTTTGATGATGTTGATTCTACCAATCTGTGAACATGGTTTGTTCTTCCATCTGTTTATGTCTTTCCCTATTTCTTTTTTCACTATCCTGTAGTTTTTCCGCATATAGGTCTTTTACCTCCTTAGTTAGTTTATTCCTAATTAGTTTACCTCCTTAGTTAACTTTTTTGGTGTGATGGTAATTGGGATTGCTTTTTTAGTCTTTCTGTAAGTTCACTATTGGTGTAAAGTAATGCCATAGATTTCTTGGCATTAATTTTGTGTCCTGCTACATTGCTGAATTCATTTATTAAGTCTAATAATTTTTTATGGATTCTTTAGGGTTTTCTATGTAGAGTATCAAGTCCTCTGCAAATAAGGACAGTTTTACTTCTTCTTTTCCAATTTGAATGGCTTTTATTTCTTCTTCTTGACTGATTCAAATGGCTAGTACTATTATATGTTGAGCAGGAGTGGTGAGGGTGGGCATCCCTGTATTTTTCCTGTTCTTAGAGGAAATGGTTTTAGTTTTTGCCCATTGAGTATGATGTTGACTGTGGGTTTGTCATATATAGCTTTTATTATGTTGAGGTATGATCCTTCTATTCCTACCTTGCTGAGAGTTTTTATCAAGAAAGGGTTTGGGCCGAAACCGGTTTGGCTCAGTGGATAGAGCGTCGGCCTGCGGACTGAAAGGTCCTAGGTTAAATTCCGGTCAAGGGCATGTACCTTGGTTGCGGGCACATCCCCAGAAGGGGATGTGCAAGAGGCAGCTGATCAATGATTCTCTATCATTGATGTTTCTAACTCTTTATCCGTCTTTTTCTCTCTGTAAAAAAAGAAAAAAGAAAGGGTTTGGATTTTGTCAAATGTTTTTTCTGCGCCAATTGATATGACTGTGTGATTTTTGTCTTTCAGTTTGTTTATGTGATGTATCACGTTTATTGATTGGGGATATTATATCCCTGGGATAAATCCTACTTGGTCATGGTGTATGATCTTTCTGATGTACTGCTGGATCCGATTTGCTAGAATTTTTTTTTAAGGATTTTGACATCTATGTTCATAAGGGATATTGGCCTATAATTCTTTCACTGTGTTGTCTTTATCTGGTTTTGGTATTAGGGTGATGCTGGCTTCATAGAATGAGCTTGGAAATGTTCCTTCTTCTTGAATTTTTTGGAATAGTGTGAGGAGGATAGGTTTTAGTTCTTCCTTGAATGTTTGGTATAACTCCCCTATGAAGCCGTCTGGCCCTGGACTCTTGAATGCTGGGAGCTTTTTGATGACTGCTTCAATCTCCTCCTTAGTTATTGAGTTACTGAGATTTTTAGTATCTTCCTGATTGAGTTTTGGAATGTTGTATTTTTCTAGAAATATGTCCATTTCCTCCAGGTTGTCTAGATTATTGGAGTAGAGTTGTTCATAGTATTTTTTTAAACAATCCTTTGTATTTCTGTGGGGTCTGTTATTTAGCCTCTTTCATTTCTGATTTTGCTTATTTGGGTCCTCTATCTTTGCTTCTTGGTGAGCCTGGCTTGAGGATCATCAGTCTTGTTTATCCTTTCAAAGAACCAGCTCTTGGTTTCATTGATCTTTTGTATTGTATTGTTTTGTTTTGTTTTGTTTTGGTCTCTTATGTGATTTATTTCGGCTCTGACCTTTATTATCTCCTTCCATCTGCTCACTCTGGGCTTTTCTTGTTGCTCTCTTTCTAATTCTTTGAGTTATAAAGTTAGATGATTTACTACCATTTTTTCTTCTGTGTTTTTTTTTTAGGTAAGCCTCTAGGGCTATGAACTTCCTACTTGGGACTGTTTTCATTGTGCCCCATAGATTTTGGATTGTTTTGTTTTTATTGTCTTTCGTTTCCAGGATGTTTTTAATTTCTTCTTGGAGCTCATTGGTAACCCAATCATTGTTTAATAGCATGCTATTCAGCTTCCAAGTGTTGGGAATTTTTGGGGTTGTTCTTATTGTAGTTTATTTCTAATATTATGCCATTCTGGTATGAAAAGATGCTTGGTATGATTTCAATCTTCTTGAATTTGGGGAGTCTTTGCTTGTCACCCAGTATGTGGTCTATGTTCCATGTGCACTTGAGAAGAATGTACCGTATTTTTCGGACCATAAGACGCACTTTTTTTCCCCCAGAAGTGGGGGGAAAACGTCCCTGCGTCTTATGGTCCAAATATAGCCTACACATATACTTTCTAAAAAGTTTTTTTACTTGCCCGGCTCTGTGTGGTCTCTGTGTGCTTGCCCGGCTCTAAAATGGTTCTAAATGCTGCTGTTTACTTTACAGGGTTGATTACATGTGTTTATGACTGTGATGTTGGGTTTTAATGCACATAAAATATTTTAGGACACTATTTGTTTCAGAATCTTTTTTTCATTTCCCTTCTCTAAAAATTGGTGCGTCTTATGGTCCGAAGCATCTTATGGTCCGAAAAATACAGTATATTCCACAGCTTTGCGGTGAAATGTTCTGAAGATGTCAATTTAAGTCCATCTGATCTAGTGAGTCATTTAGGATTGCTGTTTCTTTGCTGATTTTTTGTCTAGAGGATTTATCCAATGATGTCAGTAGTGTATTAAAGTCCCTACTATGACTGTATTATTGTCAATATCTCCCTTGATATCTTCCATGAAATTTTTTTTATGTATTTGGGTGTTCCTGTATTGAGTGCATATATGTTTATCAGGGTTATATCCTCTTGTTGTATAGATCCCTTTAGTATTATGAAGTGGCCTTCCTTATATCCTGTTATGGCCTTCACTTTGAGGTCTATTTTGTCAGATATAAGTATTGCTAACCCAACTTTTTTTTCATTTCCGTTTGCCTGAAAGATATTTTTCCATCCCTTTACTTTGTCTTTGTGAATCCCTTTTGCTGAGCTGGGTCTCTTGTAGACAGCATATAAATGGGTCGTGTTTTTTTTATCCATTCGGCCACTTGATGTCTTTTGATTGGAGCATTTAGTCAATTTATGTGTAAAGTTATTATTGAAAGGTACTTATTTGTAGTCATTTCTATTTTTGTGCCTGTTGCTGGTTTGGTAGTGATAAACTTCCTTAGCCTTTTTTGTCTGTGAAGCTCTCGATTTCCCCTTCAATTTTGATTGATAGTGTTGCTGGATAGAGTATTCTTGTATTCCGTACTTTGCTTTG